TTTTGTCCAGAAAGTGCTGAATTTTTCCAAGTTGATATACTTTTTGTGCTACATTTTTGGTCATGGCATGAACATGGGAACTCCAAGTTAGATGGCTGTCAATTAAAACACCTAATGTTTTGTGTTCAACTACATTAACAATAGGTAGCTTGTCAATGAAGAGCTCAAGCGGTGGCTTGTGTACAGCTAATGTTTGTAGCTTTTGCCTAGTTGTTATCACCATAGATTTAGTTTTATTAATATTAATTTGCATGCGATTATCATTGCTCCATTTTATGAGTTTATCTATTTCTTTCTGTAAAGAACGTTCTAATTCATTACAATTGTCATGACTAGTATATATTGTACAGTCGTCAGCAAACAGATCACATGTTATACTGAGATGTAACGGAAGGTCATTAATATAAGTAGCAAACAGTAGTGGACCCAATGTTGAACCCTGAGGAACGCCTATATTTAACTGTGTGGGTTTTGAATAACGGTTACTGAGGGAGACTACCTGCTGCCTATCAGACAAAAATGATTTTATTAATGTCACTAAATTGTCGTTGGTTTTTAAGGTCTTTAGTTTACTAATTAAAATATTGTGATCAACCATGTCAAAGGCTTTCTTATAGTCAACAAATACGGCACCACAAATTTTGCCATTGTTGATGTTAAGGTGCCAGTTGTCTGTCATTTTTGTCAGCGCAGTTTGACAAGAGTGTTTAGGTCTGAACCCTGACTGGCTATCGACTATTAGACTATTTTTATTTAAATGCTGAAACATTATTTTATGTATGTGTTTCTCTAATGGTTTAGATAGTGAAGATAGTAGAGAAATGGGTCTATAGTTGCCTAGAGAATTGTTGTCAGCTGAACCAGGTTTAAGCAGAGGATAAACCTTAGCAATTTTAAATGCTGATGGAAAGTAGTTCTTGGCAAGGCACTGATTATATATAAACGTTAAGGAATCACTAACGACAGGTGCAGCACATCGAAGGATTCGATTGCTGATTCCATCCAAGCCAGAGGAGTTTGTTTGCTTGAAGTTGATGAGATAATCATACACTTCAGCAACAGACATAAGGGGAATCTCAGAAGGGATATTCGTATTGCATTTTTCCTCACAGAATGATGCTAGTAAGCTTAAGTCACACTGTGAGTCTGGTATTGTGGACTTTAAATTCTCTATTTCTGATTTGAAGAAACAACTAAAATCATCACACGTTAGATAATTTGGTTTTGATTGATCTGAAGAATGCTTATTGGTTAGGATGTTGATAGCCCTCCAAATGTCTGCATTATTTGTTTTATCTGTAATCATTTTTTTAAAATGATCTTTCTTATTTTTACGAATTAAATATTTTACCTTATTTCTCAGTTTACAGAAAAGATCATGGTTTTTATTCTTGTGTGCTGTATCTCTTTCTCTCATAATTTCCAGAACCTCGCTAGTAATCCATGGTGATTTCGTTTGATGTTTTACTCTAAGTTCTTTAATAGGCACATGTTTATCAAATACACTATATACTGTTTTCGTCCAGTAGGCTATAGCATCGTCCGGTTCAGGAAGCTGATAAACATGGTCTAGCTGTGCATTTCGCAAATCTAGTAAAAAAGAGTCAGGATTAAAAGTTTTGAAATTTCTAAATTTAACTGCGATATGTTTATCTTTAGGTGTTTTAAAACCAATTTTCGCCCATACACAGCATACAGGATAATGATCGCTAATAGCCGTAGCGGGGACAGAACATTCAATAATATTTTTTGGGTGAGAGACATATATATGATCAATTAGTGTTGAGGATGTTTCTGTAACTCTAGTGGGAAAGTTAATTAACTGTTTGAGGTTATATGAAAGAATGATATCTTCCCATGTCTGGTTAGGTTTATTTATGTCAATGTTAAAATCGCCAAGAAGAATAATTTCTTTCCCTACACTAAAAACTGTGTCCATCATAGAAGTAAAGTCGTCATACCAGTTGCTGTCTTCACTTGGATTTCGATAAAGATAGCCAATGAGAAGTGACTGCTGGTTTAACGGCTTAACCTCCAGCCAGATACAATCGATATTTTCATATTCTAAATTAAATCTACGTGAATATTTGAGATAATTCGAAATATAAACTGCTATGCCAGTCTCTAATCTTCTTATTGCATCTTTGCGAATTACTGTAAAACCACCAATGGTGATTTCGTTGTCACTAATTTTGTCGTTCAAGCGACTTTCTGTAATTCCAAAAACGTGGAATTGGTTACTGAGCCTAATTGATAGCTCGGGTAGTTTGCCGAGTAAATGAAAAATGTTTAGATGACCTATTCGGAGGCCATCTTTTTGAAGCCACTTATTTCGACTATTTAACATGATGGTTTTGAAACGGAGGATATTGTTAGGGTGGTTTTAAAACTATAATCACTAGTAAGTAGCCGTAGGATTAGGCAGGTTATGGTAGCGTCTCTGCTGGAGCGACATCATATAGGCATGATGTAGAGCTGCAGGGTTGAACTGCATAAGATGCTGAACTTCATAATTCCAGTTGTAGGCTGGGTGTACACTAGTGTGCACTGAAGGGGGGCTACTCTGAGCAACACTGGTAAGTCCTACATTAGAAACAGATGCTTGAGGCATGCCTTGCATGTGTAAGGGCGTTTCCATAGATTTGACTGAAGATGATTGCTTCACAGGCAGTGAAGGAAACATAACATCGTAATTTTCAGCCTGAGGAATGGAACATGGGCTGCGATGCAGAGGAATGTGAGCTTGAGATGAAGACAAGTTTGACATTGAGATAGGGACGGTGCACTGCCTTCTATGCATGTTTGCCACAGGCGAGATTTTAGGTACTTCACTGCCGGGCGCTGATTGTTGTGTACGTTGTGGATACTTGATATTTTTAGCCAAAATACTACTGCCTAATCTGGAACTGTGTATTTGGTCCCGGTACAACTTTTTCTTAGGAGCGCCAGACGATAAGGTAAAGTAAGGCGTGTGGTTAATAAATGTGATGTTTTGTTCCAGACAAAGTTTCTGTAATGTTGAGTTACCTGCATCTGCCAAACGTCTTTGAGATCCATAAGATGGTGGTAAAATGGAAGATAAAAACACAGATGATTTTGGAAATTTGTTACGCATCGAGTCTAACAATGTGGACAAATGAGACGTGCTAACTGGTTGATTGTTCATAACGTCATTGATGCCGGCATGGACAGTGATTCTTTTAACGTTATGGTTTGGATTATATCGTCGCAATGTCGCTGCCACCCTATTTATATCTGCACCAGGTAGAGGATGAACTAACACTGTCTCGTTATCTGTTGACATCCGGTCACTGTAGATTCCCTTCATCAGAGAATCACCAATAATTAGATGTGACACACTGGAGTCAATGTTTAATTCACGTTGTTGTCGGGTCTGTCGGGAGCGCTGGTGCTGCCACTGGCGACTGTCATCTCGAGGCTGGTCTGTATCTTTTTGTGACATCTGAGACGACTGATGTTCCACAGAGGGAGTTTGTGGTTCATTTTCTAAACTAAGAGCCTCAAATCTGTTGCTTATTTTGACCCCAATTGGATAAATAGAGGCAGTCCTCTCAACAGGCTTAGCAGTGTTTTCGTTATTCACAGTCGCCTTTGTGGCGTCTTCAGTGTCAAATTGAACATTTTCTTCATTTGAGGTGGCACTTTTCGTTAACTCGTCTATTTGAGTTTTCAAAGAAGTATTTTGTTCCACCAAAAACTTTACTTCATTTTTAAGGAATAATTTGTCCTTCTCCAATTGGGAAACAATCTCTGATGAGATAAAGATTTTCAACCTGTCCTCTAAGGCTCGGATTAACTCCTCACATGTAGTAGGCCTGTGTGGACACGAACAATTGACACTGTCTTTTGAAAAATCGGGTGTGTCCACCCCTTTCTTTCGCTTAATGGCTGGTTACACAGCTTGTCAGTGAGACATGGCGTGGTAGGTGTTGAACTAGCAGCACGGCAATCGACAACGTGAGGGGGAGTGCTGGCTACTTTGTTTGCCGTTTTATCTTTGTTCCCTTGTTGCCCTCGTTTGGCGAGTGTAGATGGTCGTAGACTGGACGACATTGTTAGAACTGAGCACAGCGTTCCGCTTCACTAGCCACGGACCCACCAACTGCCCGGTTTGGCTGTCTTTTGTCTAATTAATCGGCATGCTAGTTACACGCCTGGGTGAACAGCTTCAGTCGAAAACTGGTACAGTTAATAGTGAATGTTGTTACCTTGTAATTCCATGAAAGAAATCACAATTAAAATATCACAGTGGTACATGTTCAAATATTATTGAATCCATAGCATATCCAAGCGAAATATCAATAAAGTGAAATATAAAACATCATGATTAGGCTATTACATCCTTGGAAAACAACTGAAAATGTAGGAGCTAAAACACGTCTACACGTGGCCAGCCGCGCTTCCACACTGTTCACTCACTTCCAGAGGGCCCTCACAACATCTAGCTTGTCATCCATTACAGCGGGTGAACGCAAAAAAGAAGCAATGCTCTTGGCAGGTGGCTAGCGATTCTCTGCGGGTGAACGCAAAGAAGAAGCAATGCTCTTGGCAGGTGGCTAGCGATTCTCTGTAAGGAGACTGAGCCATTTGTAATTAAACCCTGTGTAGGAAAGTCAATCCTCTCAGCTTTAAACGTTTTAAATGTTAGTAAAATGTTGATAAAACATCTTTTTCCTTTTTGTTGTCTTTGTTTTCACTATGATAAGAGCAATTAAATAAAACCTTAAATAACTTTTGTAAAACAAGATAAATAAAAACTAACAAAACAATAAACAAATATGAACTGAAATTATTTGCCTCAATTTATACCATGAAATCCCTCTGTGAGTGATTTTTGTTGTTAAATTACAATAAATTTAGAAAGCTGAGACTGAATAAAAACAAAAATGGAAGATTGATTCAAAAGACAAATTCTGGGTGAAAAGTTAAAAGATAATGATTAGAACTGCACCAATCATCTAAAGGAGTTGAAGACTTACCATGAGATATAATGTCCTTTTCATTTAGTGTTGACAGGTTAAATACTACAATAGGGACAATAAGTAAACAGTAATTTATTTACTTTATAAAGCAAAACTTTAGCAGCATCCTTCCGAGTGAACAAATAAAGCAAACCATGTAATGCACATAAACAAAAACATTTTATGCACTTCTCCCTTCACCACATAGTATATGTAAGTATGTATATATGTGTGTTTGTGAAAAAAAATTACAAACTAAATGACACAGCAGATACACAGACAAACTGACAATCAAACAGATAGATGGATAAACAGGCAAGTAGGCTCATAAATAGGCTGACAGACAGTCAGACAGACAGACAGAGGAAGAGAAAATGAACCAAAGAAAAAAGGTTATCTTGTGGTGATTTAATGATAGCTAATTATGAAAGCTTTAAATGATACCCACCTGCATGAGCATACACAAACACACATAAACACCCACCTGCATGAGTGAGAATACACATACACACATATTATAGACATATGTACATATAATACATGTGTGTGCATGCATGCACACAAGCATGTGTGCATGCGAAATTATTGTCTCGTCAATTACTATGAAATCAAAACAAAAGTACAAATACAGTAGCAGTGAACATATGAAATGTCAAATAAAACAAACAATATGAAACAGACACACAAAAAAAACACAGAAAAGAGAAATAATGTAAGTAAAAAAAAAAAAAAAATCAGAAATGAAATATAGCTGCAGAGTGCAAAGGTGTTAAAAAGCATCAGAGCTTAAATATTTGGGAAGAACATTAATTAAAGATGACAAACTGGATGAAGAAATCAACACCGGATGCAGTAAAGCAAACTAAGTACTAGAAACGCTTGCTCCCCTCTTACAGTATAAGACAATTCTGACAGCACACCCAAAAAAAAAAATCTCACACAAAGCGTATTCAACCCATACCTATGCTACCAATGCTGAACATGGCCACTCACAACAAACCAGACAGGAAAATTAGTAACCAAAGAAGTGAGATCTCTTAGGTAAGCCTTGCGACAATATACCATACAGGGCATGCACTAAAAGAAAAGAGGGACAAGGAGCAGAAAGCGGACTAAGAGAGGGATGGAAAGATATGGTACTCTACAACAGCACAATGTTTTTATGGTGACCAGAGCAGCAGGAAGCAGAAGCTTATATTTGCCTCGACACCTGAAGCGGTAAAAGAGGAAAAGAAGAACTGAACATATGGCCACTGCAGCTGTAAGGTAAACAGTCATTTTCCACACCTTCAGGAGTACTGGGTATATAGGAGTAGATATATATTTTATGGTGGGTGATGTGTTCACATCATGCAGGCCGCTTTTACTTCCCAGGACTTGTACCTCGTACCAATTTAAGGCTAGGTCAACATAGGAACCAAGGTCATTTTAAAAGAAAGTCCAGCACATCCAGATTTGAACCCACTACCTTTGGATTCATAGGAGAGCGTCTAGCCGCTACATAATGGCAGTTCCCAGTGCAAGTAAACAGAACACGTGATTTCATATGATTAAACCAAAATCTGTGACTAAAGCCTGAGAACAAAGATATCAATTGGTTGCTGTTGTTAACTCACACACAAAAAGATTTTATAACATAACTAAATGCCTAATGTACAATGTGTGTATTATGTATTAGCAGATATTTAGACAGCTGTTCTAGCCCAGCTACAACTAAACGAGTAACACACAAGCAAACATACCTTCAGTGACAGCTTCCTTTGCATCATGCAGAGCAGAATCAATACGATCCTGATGGCGCAGAATGAATGGTCGGATAAAACGGTAATAAAGTATATGGGAGCCATTCCATGATACTGGCAAAAAACACCAGACCAGAAACACACACTATAAGAAAGGGAAAAATGACAGCAAATGATATTAAAGTACATATACAAGCATACAATAAAATTTATAATCTGTTTAAATCACCAAATATTACCGGTATTATGGAGGGCTAACAGACTCAACTCTTTGAGGTGCATAGAGAAAATGGCTGATAACTGAGAGTCAAAAACTACATACATAAAAAAGTTTCAATTGGAGTAGACCACAAAGACAAGAAGATATCCGAGACAGAGAGGCAGACCTACAAACAGTTGGCATCACCAACTGAAAAGAGAAGACCTATCAACCAAATGGAAAGAGAAGGCCTATTAACTAAATGGAAAGAGAAAGTATATATTTATGTTTATTTAACCCACACATCAGGCACACATATTTTGCCTTCACAATTTATTTTACTGTTTATATTTATCATCTTCCCCATATGTGATCTAGGGCCCCATTGTGGGTAAAACAAGAACAGACCCACCGGCTTAGCAAAAAAACATGTTGTAGGAGTTGACTAACTTCCTTCGAAGTCACAGTGCATCTGCCTGCGAGGCAAGGAACCAACAGTCTGCACACACAAGTCAGATCTGTCAGATTATTCTAGTGTAACATTTTAAATCGAAAAAAGACAACCTATTCTAGGCCACAGAATGATTCTAGAGAGATGGAGTAACTATTTTAAAGAACTACTAAATTTCAATAATAAGACGACAATGCAAACAGCAATACTGTAACAAACACAGTAGAAGAGATGGATACATTAGAGCCTGAAATTCTATTAAAAGAGGTAGAAAATGTAATAAAGATAGCACCAAGGCACAAAGCAACTGGTACTGACGATCTCCCTGTAGAAGCCATTAAAGCAGCTGAAGAAACAGAAGCAAAATGGGTCAGACTGCCTGGCTACAACAAGAAACACCAGATGACAGGAATGTGTGCTATCTCCCCTGCTTTTTTATAAGATACATCAACAATATATGCAAAGAAGCAGAGAGCGAAGAAAAGAAGGATATCTCAAAATTGTTATTTGCAGATGACCAAGTATTAATAGCTGAAACAGAAGAGAGTTTACAGAACCATACAGACCAAGTCAATACTAAGTGCGAGAAATAGTATATAAAGATAAGCATTGATAAGACAGAGGTAATGACAAAAAGAAAATATATCAAAGTAAATAACACAGAAATAAAATAAACGAGCACATTTTAATATCTAGGGTCATTTTTCACCTAAGATGGAAGAATGGATAGAAAAATCAACACACAATCTGCAAAAGCAAATCAGGTTAGGGGACAATTAACACCACTTTTGACCCACAGAAAGATACCTCTGTCACCAAAGCAAATGTCATAAGAATGTTTTTTGGCCAACATTGTGCTACCAGTGGATTGGAACAAACGACAGCAGAAGGTATGGTGCAAGCAAGGAGGGGCAGTCGCTGACTAGCACAAAGATGGACAAAATTTATAAGTGATTCCTTGGGTATGAAAGTGCACTAGGCAGGAAAGACCAAGTTTCTTTCAGGCAGACCATGATAAGAGCGACATTCTTCAAGGGACCTGCTACATGATGATTATTATTCCACATGTGCACCCTTCCCCTATTTCTCTAATTTATTACAGAATGATAAGCAGGTGATCAAATTGGTTAAATGCAATAACGTGATAGATAAATAGAAAGAACAACTCAGTCTTACCTTCAAAAACCAGTAGAATGGAATCCAGAATAAGAAAATATCAGAGAAAAACTCCACAAGGCTGAAAACACTGTACACAACCCAGTAGGTTAGCCATTTGGTATCATCATCCTTTTCATGACTTTCTATAGCTTTCACCCTGAAAAATGAACAGAAAACATTGAAAGAAAATGCATCTGTAAACCAATGTAAACCAATCAAAATTTATTTAAAACTTTCATTATGTGTGAACACTGCACTATTATCTTAATCATTACTGTGTTATTGTGCCATGAGTTATGATGTGGATTATCTTCACAGCACTCCAGACACATCGATAGGTGCTCAAATTTCCCCTTCAACAAATTCAACAGAGTCGTCAAGTTAATAGTGCCAGTCACATTCTGGTTGACAAGACATGTTTCTCATGCTTAGCTGTGCCGATCTTTACTCCCAGTTCTCGTATTCTTAGCAGTAATGTGACACATTGCTTCCAAAATCCTCGGAACGTCTTATCTCTCAAAGGGCTCTGACAATGTTTGCGTGATCCATGGGCCAGCCCTCTGCAATTAATGTGGAATCTGCCAGTTTGCCAGCTCTTTCCTTGTCAACAACACCTGCATGCCCTGGGACAAATATGAAGGTAACTGCACACACAGGAGAGTTTTGCTATGACTCAATCTACTGTCTGTATAACGAGCCTGCCATGTTCTTTGCAATATTTGTTTTTCAAACACTAAACACTCTCACTCAAACACTGACCATTCTGGCTCTGGAAAGCTCACCTTTTATCTTGACATGAGATCATCACATATTAATAAACTATTTCTAGTATACACAGCAGACTGCTTAAGTCGATCTTGGATGTGGTGAATTTCTGTTGTGAAGAGCAATTTGTTTATACCCGGCAATTTTTCTTACTTGAATTCTTAACCAGATAAGAGTAATTTCTGATTAAGAAGAATTATTTCTTGGGTCGCTGGTGAGTTCTTATCAGGTCTGCACTGTATCTGCAATTTGTCTGTAAATATTTCTGTAAGGTAATTTTTAGTTTTATTTCCAAATTGTGCAGTGGATGTTTCTAATGAAACATTTTGAGCTTTTGAAACGGAGTGATAGTTTAAAAGAAAGATCAAGCACTGGACCATTTGTCATGTCATCAGCACATCAGACACATGGTGCAAAAGACACCTTTTTTTTAAATAGATTAATAGGCAGCAGATAAGTGATGTGGTCAGCTGGCCATTTTAGGCTAGGTTGACAGAGGAGCCAATGTAATATCTCCTCCACCCCCCCCCCCCCCTTGTAGAGAATCGAATGCAAAACCATAGGGCTAGCAAGCGAGCATATTGTGACTTCACTACTATGGCTCCCAAAATAACAATAGTAAAATATAATTATTCTAGCATTCATAAATTGACAGCGTATTTTCTGATGGTGCGCAACAATATGCAGTACAGATACCTTTTTAAGGCGTTTTAAAAAATTAGCACTACTGTAATAGATACAGTGTGGTAAATACAGGCACCGTGTAGCAGACACTTTACTGTTTCTGAAAAGAAAACAGCTCCTGCTTAAATGAATTATTTGTCAACAATTCCGCAAATATACCAATGGTATATAAATACATACGATGCATATGCTGGGTAAATGAAGCCAATGAAGTTGCAGAGAAACTGAGCACCAAAGCCAATCATCAGATACAGGGCAATAAAGGCAATAAAACCTGGGGATAGAGCATAAGTTATACAAGATAACAATAGCATATTGTCAGGTAAATTGCAAATTAGCGATACAACTGATTAAATAACCATTGTAAATTTTTTCAGTATTTTATCCATCCATCCATTCATCTATTATCTGTATGTCTATGAGTCTAACAATCTACCTATCTATCTGTAAATAGACCCATAACAATGTGTGCTGTCAGGTCATATGTTACTGTTGTCCAGGCTTTTCCACCTCTGGCGATCAAATGCACTGATCTTGATGTTTTCAAATTTGTGGCCAGTCCCATCAGCTATATTTTGGACCCAGGACTTTCTTGGCCTGTCTTATCTCCTTTTCAATGGTATCAAGCCTGTAGCATGGTTTAGGAGAGGCTGGTAGATCTTATTACATGTACGTACCATTACATTTTGCATTAGGTAACAATACATGCAAATATAAAGATCTTAAATGTATTATAAATTTTCCTAAACAACAAACATGATCACTCACACAAACTGTCTGTTTTTAACAGGAAAAACTACACCCACAGCAACAATGGTAACAAGTGACTGGTAACTTTATGGCAACATTGATACTGGCCTTCATGGGTTGGTGTTGCCTGCCTCGGCAACATGTGTGCTCACATTCCAAGCACAGGTGCAAGCTTAATGTACTAAGTTATAAATTATATTACTGTTTCTGGTAGCTAGGCAAACAGAGTACAAGCTGATGAAAAGAGTATTAAGTGATAACATCTAATATCTATTGATTTCTAACTACTGAAACACCAGACCAGAAACACACACTCAAGAAAGGGAAGAACATAATTTTAAGTAATTTATATAAAAGTATGCATATACATAGAAGGACGCCAGTCAAAAATATAGTTTCATGTTTATTCAACCTATACTTCAGACAAACATACTGAATTGAAGGATTGCCTGGACTGAATATTAAAAGACTATTAATAAAAAATCTGAGATATGCTGAGAAAGCGAGCAAGAGTTATAAGACCTATTGGATCAAGTCAACAGGTGGAGTGCAGAGTAGAATCTGCCAAATACAGAAACCTCAAATCTCAAAAAGTTAAAGGACAAAAATGGGGACAGGGGTTTTACAATTTGTGAAACTAATGTCTATGGAAAAAATGTTAAATTAAAAAATCATGGTGTGGCGTCGTCCTAATGCAGCCATGATGCACAATACAAGACTCTTAATCTCTATAGGCCTATCTTGCTTAAGCCTATCTCACATTGACGTGGCATACCCTGTTCTTCCCAGCAATCCAGTGGAAGGTTGGGATTTCAATAATTGAGGCAAAGTTGAAGAGATGGGCCCACTTTCCCTCTTAAGAGATCCAGAAGTTAGAAATATTGGACCAGAAGATAGATCAAACACCACAGTACTGCGCAACCTCCGCTATATATGATTACTTGCTTGTCTGTCGGTGTAAATCAGAAAGCGATCATAAGAAGAAGAAATTTTTTTGGGAGGACAAAATTAAGAAGTACTTTCAAAGCAGCCAATAAATGCAATTCGCATGCGATTACATTATCTGGGAGCGAAGTACGTCAGTCTGTCTCCGAGGTCAAGACAGGAAAAACTGTAATCATCTCCTCATGGGAACAAACAATAGAGACACCTTGGGGTGGCTGCCCCTTAGGAAGACTAAGCATGCATGGGAGTGACTGATGTGCAGTGATGTTGACATCATAAAAGGCATAGAATTTCACAGATTGAAGAAAGGAAACAAATGACTAATTTCCATGTCTTGTGTACTGGACATATAGTGTTAATCAATTTTTTTTTTATAGACTGATCAGCACTTGACGAAGATAAGGTCAATATCACGCCAGTCACCTTTACTTCCCAGAACATTTGTGGTACCCATTTTTATTCTGAGTCAGCCTAGGAGGCCAAGTCCAATATGAAGTCTTTCAATCCAAGACAATCATTGTCGGTTCTTAACTCATAACTCAATATAACAAAGGGGCATGCCATATGAAGTTGAGGAAAGTATATTTTATATGGAGTGTCCAGCACACACATAGCTAGCTGGCTGATATTGAATGAGTTAAGGTTGGTGGTGCCTATAGTGATACTGTGTGTGTGCAGCTACTGATCTGTTGTAAATGCTACTTCTATCTATCACAAACTGCAGTTCTAGTGGTGTCCTCTTTGTGGTGGCACTTCTTACAGCTGCCTTATGTGATACTGTGTGTGTGCAGCTACTGATCTGTTGTAAATGCTACTTCTATCTATCACAAACTGCAATTCTAGTGGTGTCCTCTTTGTGGTGGCCCTTCTTACAGCTGCCTTATGTGATACTGTGTGTGTGCATTAACTGATTAGTTGTAAATGCTAATTCCATCGACCATGAACTGCAACTTTAGTGATGGAGTGTTTGTGGGTGCACTTTTGACAGCTTCCTTATGCAGTATTATGTGTGTGTGTATGTGTGTGTGTGTGTTTGTCTGTGTGTGTGTGTGTGTGCAGCAATTGATTTGTTGTAAATGCTACTTTCATCGACCACAAACTGCAACCCTAGTGGTGGACTATTTGTGATAGCACCTCTAACAGCTGCCTTATGCGTTTGATGCATGTGTGTGCTAGTGCGTTTGCACAGACTGCAGTTTTTTTTTTTTAGGGTCGGTGATGTACATTTTGTGTGGTTTTGGCCAGCACAGGACTAGAGGACCTAGCGGATCATCCATTTACCATAAATTCAGAATTGTATCTAACTAGCTGAGGTAACAATGCTTAAACAGCCAATAGACTAACAATGAATAAACATGCAAAAACACAAACACACATACATACATACATACGCACTCACTAAATAGGGGCTTTTGTTCTTGTTTGTTCACTTCACGTATTATTTTGTTGATATTCAAAGGCTCTCCTCCAAACTTTTACCCCAGCATTATGACGGCCAAACAAATATCCTAACAGGGCCTTAGTCCTATGAAAAATGCGGACTTCTCGGACTTCCTGCCAAGCGGCAAAACTAGGATCGGTGAGTTTAATCGCGTTTTGCGCATGCCAAAAAGTGTGAGGATACAGGTCGGCAGGTCTGACATCTACCGCTTCTAAACCCTCAATCGGACGAACAGTACTGCTAATCTGCATCGGAGCGTGTGGTCTACCCGCCATATCGCTTTCATTGTCTGTAATGTCTCGAAATTATCAATAGTCGTTATTATCGTCTGCACAAATGCTTGAAATTGTGGCTTCGGCTCTACTGGCAAATCCGGACGAAGAATAAACAGCCTTGGACGACTTAGTCAGAGTTCTCTCCCGTCGCCGCACTCCAAACAGTGATCGGAAAAGCCACAACGAAACAAAGACGACAGTCACGTCGACATCAGGGCTGCCAATGCTTGGTTGTTTCCCCCAGATCTGGGTTTTTTTTTTGACGCTGCAGGACAATTCTGGGTGTTTTTTTTTTGGGGTGTGTTTTGTTTGTTGGTGTTTGCCGATTTGTATGCTTTAATGATCGATAAATTTGCGTGGTTAAGGGGGTAGGGGTTAGGGTTAGGGAGTGGGATTAGGATTAGGGTTAGCGGTAGGGTTAGGATTAGCGTTAGATTTGACAATCGCGCACAGTCCCATACACACACACAAACAATCGAGGGCCTCTGGATGCTGGTCACACGCACAATTCGCCAACGATTGGGGGCACCAGCCGCACGCTATTGGCGTCATATTTGGCAGAGTTTCAGTGGCGCCACTCCCACAAACATCAGATTGTCGGCCAGTATTTCGAAATCCTAAGTCAAAATTTTAACATCTACCCCTAACCCTACCCCTAACCCTACCCCTACCCCTAACCCTAACCCTAACCCTACCTCTAACCCTAACCCTAACCCTAACCCTACCCCTAACCCTACCCCTAACCCTACCCCTAACTCTAATCCAACAACCGCATGTTGATGACTACACAACCATTCACAATGCCTCACGCAACCGTACGCAACCCTGCAAGCAACCATATGATGATGTCACGATGCCTCACACAACCGTGCGCAGCCCTACACGCAACCGCAGGATGATTAAGTGTGTCGTTTGTTTCGTTTGTTTTCCGATCACTGTTTGGAGTGCGGCGACGGGAGAGAACTCTGACTAAGTCGTCCAAGGCTTTTTATTCTTCGTCCGGATTTGCCAGTAGAGCCGAAATTGTCAACAGTCGCTTTTATCGTCTGCTACTATCAACTGCAATGTTGCATCTCTTGAAATTGTCAAGTAATCCTAGTTTTGCAGCGATTTGTTCCTTGGCAGACAGTCCGCATTTTATATATGCCTGAGCCCCGTAAGGGTATTTTATGGCCGCCATAATATTAGGACGAAGTCTCACGAATTTCGGAGGAGAGCCTAACAATCTAACCATGATATGTCAATTTTAAATGTGTAACTGCGTAGTTGTTAAGTTGATATATCTCATCATAACTCACAACCAGAAGAAACAATAATGAACACAGCAGTGAGTGAACTTTGATCCAAGCTCATTTGATTTGGCGAAGGCCAGCGAGCTCTATCTATACATAGTATTTTTAGTATAGTGACATATAGTCAGTCGAAATTAAATTTGATCTTAAGTAAACGGAAGACTTACCCAGTGCAACATAAAGCCGTCTCACGCCAGTTTTTTGTTCAATGATTTCCAAAACATCGGTCACTTTATTTTTTTCATGAAGAACTTTATCAAGCCTGGCTTTGAAGGCCTCGAACTTCTGGTTGATTGCAGCCATCTTAGCTCAGCTGACTGGCTTGTTGTGTTACTGTTTGTGACTGCCCAGCGGACGAGTCGATCTCCCTGCAGGGTTGCCAGATAAAAAAACTTCATTTTATGCCAAACCATCACCCAAAATATGCCAGAAAATTGCCAAATAAAGTGTAACATTGTACTCACTTCACATCAAAAGCTCTAGATTGAATTCTTCACTGTCATCCTCACTGGAACCAATGGAAGATGCAACATAAACCTTTTCGGATGTAAAATCTGTAAGCTTTTACTTAGATGGAATGAAGTCTTTGCAACATTTCTTTGATATAAATAGTTTTGCTCTAATTCTGACAACTGCATCAAGAAAATCCAGTTGTATTTTGTTTCTTGCTTTTGATTTAGCTGAAGTAACAAGAGAGAATATTCTCTCAACTACAGCATTGCTAACTGGCATTATTAGGCAAGTAAGGGCGAAAGTGGCCAACTCTTTAAATGCCTGGTGTCGAAGTACGCCTATACAAAACTCTTCACTGTTTGCAGGTAGTCCATCCTTCTTAAATGTAATTTCTTCTTTCCAATTGACAACAATCAGTTTTATGTACTGATCTTCTAAAATACTGATGTTGTTTTCTGCCAGGTGTAAAAATTGTAGCTCTGAAAACTGTCCTTGATATTTGATTTAAAACTGCCAAAGAGCTCAATTTTGACAGATTTTGAAATATATTCTCGGTGGGAAGTCTACACGTAATTTGATTGAGAGCTTCCTCTAGCACAGACATGCATCTTTTATCAACATTGTTTATTTCTATCTGAACTTCAGTCCCGTTATTCTTCTGTAGGAACGCATTACATTCCGTTAGGAATTTAATACCAAAGTCAACCAGATAATAATTTTTTTTTTCTGCTCATTGACGTCATACAGTCTGTTCTTAAGATTTTTCTGGTTCATGGACAATTCTTGGTGTATATTCTTGTTCATGAGGATCAGCTTTTGTTTGTTGAAAAAAGACTGTTCACTCTTTCAAATTCGTGTACAGTTGGTGTCGCAAAGACAAAGTACAAATAATTATTGTAGTCTAACAGCATTTCCTTTAACAATCTTACTTTATATTTTGTGTCAAACGTTGTCTGTGCTAATTCAGCACATGTGAAATAAGCTTTCAATTCTTTACAGTTCATCTACATATTGAACATAATCTTTCCACGCACAAGCCACCTAGGAGATGACAGTTTCTATAATGGAAGAGGAGCAGTTCGTTCTGATTCAAACTCCGTAGATGTGTTCATCACTCTAAACAGTTCTTTATAGGCTTCTCATCTTAAATCACTATGACGAAACCACTAAGGTATTTATGACAGTAAGAAACCAATATTTGATAGCAGCTTGGCAATTGCACTACAAATGCAGAGTGATAATGAATGGCAGATACATCTGAGCTGTACACAAAAAGGAGACACATCTTTAATTCTGGACCATACCGAGCTCTTGAACCCGACCATGTTTGAGACGCCATCTGACGCAAACCTAATGCAATTTGTAAGACTCTGACCACACCTTTTGATTTCCTTATCAATCAAAGAAAATTAAAGCAAGAAATCCGGTAAATATTTCATTTTTCCTGTCACTGAAAAAAACTATAATGCACAATAATGCACAAGTACTTTCTATAATGATGGCATATTTCTTGTTCCGAAAATCACCAATAAGGTCACTCTTCAGTGCGGGCGATATAATATTTCTTATTAAGCATAAACATTTAGTTCTATGCAACTGTATGTGCTCCAATGTATTTCCCTGACCATGCGCTCTCATTATTTCACTTAAATGATCAATTGTGCGTATTGCACAACGGCAGGTCATGTTTACAGCAAATTGCAACTCTGCTGCTTTAACTTTATCATTACTTTGCCTAGGAGTTATTGTTGTAATAAGCTGTGACTGGCTTTTTGACGGAGTTTTCATCCTGTGTTTTTCAGTTTTTTCGTGATTTGAAATGCTACTAATTCTTGGTGCAACAGTGCACTGACACAGCTTACAATATGCTGCCTCTGATCCGTCTGAAGATCTTTTGAGCCATGAGTATGTTTTCTCCCAATTACTATTATACTTGCGATTGCTTTCATAAGATACTTCCCATTTTTGGATGACGTAGCCATTAGTAACAGTAATAAAATCTATCACAGATAGAACTAGGTCTATATCCTATCTATTTTCTGTCTTCAAGTAGTTTCTGAACAGTCTGAATCACTTGGTATCAGTGGTGGGTTTTCGTTTTATATCTCGCATTTTTTCTAGTAAATTAATATAAATTACAGAGGTTTATAACATTCACGATCCGTTTAGGAAGGCAACAAAACAATAAGAAATGGCGCGAATCTCCGTTAGTCCGTACCAGGACATCACAACAAAGTCAAACTGAAATAAAGATTTTAACTGTAGGTCTACATTGCTTTTAGTAAATTTGCGTGTTTCTAATAGAGGAACATGAAGAAAATGTGAGCACATCTTTATAAGAAATGCCAGAAAAAACCCAAATATGCCAGAATATGTCAGTTCATTATCTCATGCCAGTTCAATTTCAAATATGCCAGATTTGTGGAATCTGGCATAAAAAATGCCAATATAGCAACCCTGTCTCCCTGTGTTGTTTATTTCCGTTGGCTCTTTGGTGAAGAAGGAAAGAAGTATAACGTATTTAACCTAAAGGCGCCAGTACACTGTAGCTCATCATCCACGATCGGGTCGCCCGTTGGCTCGTCGGTAGACGACTTCGTCGCTGGTCGGGACAGTATTTGGGTCTGTTTCCTTTGATCACATTTAAACTGCAAGTGTCTTTTTCAGGGCTTTTAAGTGGTGAGCAATGCTTAGCCATATCAATTTGGTGCACATAACCTAGTCACAATTATAACCTAAAGCTCCCTCTTCGAGGATGCTTGTCGAACATAACGATTTAAAAAATATTTTGGCTCTACTTTGAACTTCCCCGTAATATGATGCCGTTCGAAAGAGAGCTAAATTGACCAATTTTATGGGGAAGTTCAAAGTAGAGCCCATATTTTTTTTTTTTTTCGCAAAGTAAGCCAAGAGACAGTGTCTACTTTCCCTTGAGCCCTCACCCCCAACATGGGGGAGGGAGAGGCTGAAGAGACCTCCTAATAAATAACGAATTTTTTGTTGTTGTTGTTGTTGAAGGCGGCTTATTTTAAACATCAACCATTGTTTGAACTCATTGTTTGCCTACATCATTGGCTCTCAACCTTTCTAATCCCGCGACCCTTCCAAACAGTTCCTCGTTTTGTTGCGACCCTTTAATACAGCTCCTCGTGTTGTGGCGACCCCCAACCATATAATTGTTTTCGTCGCTATTTTATAACTTCAATTATGTGTTTTTGCGATGGTCTTCGGTGACCCCTATGAAAGGGTCGTTCGAGTCCCCCCCCCCCCCCCCCCCCCCAAAAAAAAAGTCGCAACCCACTGGTTGAGAACCGCTGGCCTAGATGGTTAGAAAAGCGTGATTGCAGGTGGGGTCTCTAGCCACCACCCCCCCCCCCCCTTTTTTTTTTTCAAACGTTTTAAACTGTAAAATTACAATTTTAAGTCAATGCGAAATCTGCTAGTCAAAGGCTAGCAAATCATACATAGGTCACTGGGGAGTTGTTTCTGAAAGACAAAGCACTGTAAACCCATTCTGTGTCTATTTTGTTTTGACTGTAACCGTACGATTCTGCAGACCGTTTTGGCGGATCGCCAGGAGATTTTCGCAGGCTGGACTGGTCCGTGGACCATATATAGAACAACGTAGATCCAGAGTGTAGAGCGATTTAATCCCTGACGTTATGACACTCACACAGCAGCTATCTGACACGAAATTATTATGACCTCAATACTGTACACTGGTTTTCAAAGTATTGCACTGAGCTCTTAAGGTCAATTTAAAGTATTTTTTAATGATTACCTGATTTACTAGCACACAGTGAGCTACATTGCAAAGAATGACATCTTCTTCTTCTTCTTCGCGTTTTCCAACAGCAAACTCTTGCGGAAGGTTCTGGCTATTCGTCCACCTCTAGACTTTAGTCTTCTATCAGAAAGTGAGTGTTGTGTGCATATCTGTTTTACAGACTTATTTGTGTGCAGCATGTTGGTTCTCAATCTCATTCGATTACCAACGTCAGCACTAATTAATCATTATTAAATGAACTTGCAGTGAGACGAGATTTGGCAAGTGGGAAAAACCGAGGTGTCAGAGACAGACATCGACACAGATTGAGAGAGAGAGAGAGAGAGAGAGAGAGAGAGAGAGAGAGAGAGAGAGAGAGAGAGAGGGGGGGGGGGAGACGTTAAATGATTAAACAGTGGCCAAAAATGCTTTTTAGTCAGCACGGATAAAGAAATATAGAGAGACTAAAAGGAGGGGTGGGGGAGGGGGGAAGGGGGAGAGGGGGGGAGGGGTGGATAACTGTAACCCAGAATGTTTATCAAGAATGCACATTGCTGCGGAATACGATTATCTGTGTCCTTCTGTATTACAAATCAGAAATGATAGTGACATAAGCATCTAATGCAATCTCATTCTCCTGAGTTCGACCTAAGAAGTGCAGATGGTATCTTGTGTAGTGGTTTACAACTAGGCTGCGATATGAATGCATTTCGGCACAGCGCATCTTATTTCAGTAATTTTATTATTAGTTGCCTTGTAAAGCACACTTGTTAACGCGATAGTGTGTCTATTTTTTTTGCGCCCTCAAATGAAGCTCTACAACCACACGTAAAAATCTAATGCAATAATCTTTAGCAGCTATAATGCTTTGCTGTGAGGCTGACTATCGATGCTAAGTTTGGGAAAATTTTTGATTTTCGACCCTGCGAAAACGAGTACTAGAAAATATTATGGGAAGTAAACGTAGTTGGTGTTACACTTGCTAAATCTTCTTCTTCTTCTTCTTCTTCTTCTTCTTCTTCTTCTTCTTCTTCTTCTTCTTCGTCTTCTTCTTCTTCTTCTTCTTCTTCTTCTTCTTCTTCTTCTTCTTCTTCTTCTTCTTCTTCTTCTTCTTCTTCTTCTTCTTCTTCTTCTTCTTCTTTTTCTTCTTCTTCTTCTTCTTCTTCTTCTTCTTCTTCTTCTTCTTCTTCTTCTTCTTCTTCTTCTTCTTCTTCTTCTTCTTCTTCTTCTTCTTCTTCTTCTTCTTCTTCTTCTTCTTCTTCTTCTTCTTCCTCCTCCTCCTCCTCCTCCTCCTCCTCCTCCTGCTCCTCCACCTCTTCCTTCTTTTCTTCTTTAACCGATCGTAAACCTGGCGGAATCTGATTGTTCACCCATATCTGAACTTCAGCCTTGTTACAAAACTTGAGTTTTCCGTTTTACTGTTCTGGCTTTTTTAGTATGCAGACTGTTAGTTCCTCACCTCTCAAGCAGAAGCACTCTGACTTCGAATGAAATAACCTGTAGTAGACTTTTAACGACCAGCTTGTTAGAGTGCAGCAGACCTACCCCCCCCCCCCCCCCGGGGCTCCGGAAATCTCAAGGGGAACACTAGCTATATGACATATCAAGTGCCCATTGGTCTAGAGTTAGCACAAATGATCAATACGCATCAAAACATGAAAATTGAAACTGTTTGTGTACGGGCACACTCTTCTTTCTTGATAGTAAAGCTACCCTGTCAAGGGGATGATACCAAACACTTTGAGAATCGCTGTTCTAAACTATAATATCAGAACAGGTGACTCTATTCATGAACTGAGCTTGAAATTTGCCGTTGATAATGTGATTTCGTGCGTAAGTCGTGTTTGGCTGATTATGGAAAATGTTGGCACACTAATTTGTAGCATCATAATCAACTCAACAACAGAAGGGGAGATAATTCGACATCCAAGTTCTGCGTTTAGAGTTCGAAGATACGAAATATTAATGCAGTTAACGTTTACCATATAGTGAACCTAAGGCCTATGAGCACGCAGGTGGTGTAGGGGTACTTGAAAATGGGAGGGAGGTGAGGGGGGGGGGGGCTGGGATCAAACAGTTAGATCAAGGCAGCTAGTGCTTCTGTTTGTTAGACACGTGAGAAAGAATGGATTCGAAAACTTGATGATAAAAGATCAAGGAGATGGTAAATTAAAACTTATCACCATTCCCTTGTGGGGTGTAATTTTTCGTTATTATGAAGCCGCACCCTGCCTTTTGCCAGAAGCCGCTATATAGCCCGGCCAAGAATATGGCCTAATGGCTGAACACGGTTACCAGGACCTCTCCACGGGTGATCGTCATCCACATGGTGGCATTTTGTGTCATCGGATGTTTATCGTTTGTGTGATGTCCTAGTGGGGTAAAATCTACTACTACTACTACTACTACTACTACTACTACTACTACTACTACTACTACTACTACTACTACTACTACTGCTGCTGCTGCTGCTACTACTACTACTACTACTACTACTACTATTGCGGCTGCTGCTACTACTACTACTACTGCTGCTGCTGCTGCTGCTGCTGCTGCTGCTGCTACTACTACTACTACTACTACTACTACTACTACTACTACTGCTGCTGCTGCTACTACTAGTACTACTAGTACTATTGCTACTGCTACTAGTACTATACTACTACTGCTACTACTACTACTTCTACTGCTACTACTACTATACTACTACTACTACTACTACTACTACTACTACTACTACTACTACTACTACTACTACTATACTACTACTACTACTACTGCTACTACTACTATACTACTACTACTACTACTATTACTACTACTACTACTACTACTACTACTACTACTTCTACTACTACAACTACTACTTCGACTACTTCTACTGCTGCTGCTGCAGCTGCTGCTACTACTACTACTACTACTGCTGCTGCTACTACTACTACTACTAGATGGCAAAGACATACATACGTGGATGATGTTAGATCATGATACATAGCCTATTATAAATTTAAAACACAGGATTTAGATAAACACGCAACTGACACTTCACATGTCTGATAATACATATTGAAACATTCCTCTCCCAATTTTTTTTTTTTTTTAGGAACCCACTGGGTTGTTATTGGAGGCCCTAAATATAACAGATGGATTGAAAAGGGTTTCATGAATTTGCCCCTGAGTGATTCTCATCCGAATGATGGCACTTTGTGTCATCAGGTGTTTATCGCTCGTCGTCCCATCCTGGTGGGGTTGAACGTTAGTCAACCGATCTTCAAATATTGCAACTACAAAAGCTACTCTTAACGGGCATCTTCTTATGGCATCTTAGGTGATGTCTGAGACCTTTAGAGTTCGCACAGTATATTAGAAGTTAATCATTATAACTGTTATAATCCACTAACAGCATTTACACGGATGTGCGGCCAGCTCCATTTCTCTGTCACACAGCCAAGTGCCGTCTTCACTACAAAGGTCGACAGCAATAGGCCTTGGTTACTTTGTGCCCCAGTTTTTTTATGCTCTTAAATTGACTGCTGTTTATGAATCGGTTGATGTTACTGTCCCTCTTGTACTGCTACTAGTGACAAAGGGTAAAAGTCAAGGTTTTTTCATTACCTCCTTTGTTAAAAATTGGGCATCATTAGTCTCCAGTTTTATCTCTGTTCTGTTGTTTGAGAGTAATGAATTTCCGACAGTGTCTAACGAAAAGCTCTGCTTAACATTCCATCAGATGTAATCCTGAGCATATATTATTGTTGTGTATTTTTGTAATTTTCAGCGTCACGTTTGGTTTACTTTCGTTTCCGTCATTTATAGTTTTTCAGACGACTCAAAAGACTGTTATGTCGTTGATGTGAAGAAAGCCAGACCCCCAATTGTTCTTACTTCCTGTCACCAGCAACCAATAGGTGTAGAGATATCATGGTTTTTATTCAGCGTGATACTGGAGCACTAAAACTGCCAATTACTGTCTTTATTATACCACTTTTGCGGTGTAGGCATGGAGTTATTTGAGCCCGAGGATTTACGACCGCATTGTTAATGCTAGAGGACGAAAATGGCTGTTTACCGCTCTACCTATGTACCAGTCCTGACCTATGGGTGTGAGTCATGGGCAATGACAACAGCTCACAGAAGCCAGCTGCAGGCCTCGGAAATGAGATATCTGAGAAAGGTGGTCCAAGTGACAAGAAGGAACAAAGTCCGCAATCAGACAATACGTCAAGATCTTGATACCCAGTCCTTACAAACCCGAGTGGATCAGTCACAGTTACAATGGTTTGGACATGTATGCAGAATGGGAGAAAATCGGCCACCATGGCAGGCATGGGAGGCTAAGAACCAGGGAACCAGACCTCTAGGACGACCCAGGGTGCGCTGGGAAGACAACATCCGACAGTCCCTAACTGACAGAGGACTAAAATGGAACAAAGCCAGAATGAAAACTGCTGATAGAGACGTCTGGCGATCTCTCTGGCAAACCTCTACACCCCAAGGTAGAAGAGGAGCGACTAAGCAAGTAAGTAAGTATGGTTAGGGCTGTTGCCACGACTATGTAGGTGAAGACTGTTCTAACCGTTCGGCCAGTCGATCCTCTACTGGAGAACGATTAAAAAAAATTACTTTGTTTTGCCAGCTCTGCAAGCTTTTTACTTATCACTAATGACAACAGAGATTCAAATGAGCAGTACCGTTTATTTATATGACTTCCCGTGTGGGTTCTGGGGCTCCATTTAGGAAAATTAAGAAGACCTCCCCCCCCCCCCCACCTGAAAAGTGTGTCGTAGGAGGCGACTTATTAGGGGCGTTTCTTTCGAAGTCGGAGTGCATGTGCCTGAGAGGTACAGAAGCAACATCATGCATACAAAATAAACCCGATCTGTGAAACACGCAAAACTCGATCAAGACCAAAGTCCAGGAATGGACCAAGAACCCCAAAATACCACCAGAGCGTACAGCCGGTGAACGTTAAAAAGAGGACTGACATGCCAGTTTGCGAATAAAACCTCTCTAGTGATGACAATTTGTATGTATAAGCACGTTCTGTGTTTCTGAATTACTAATATGTAACTACGTTTAATGAATGGTATCTCATTTGTGTTTAAGGTTCGTATATATGCAGATGTCACCTAAACAGAAAGTTGCAGACATTTTCCGTAAAGACATTCACCGTTGACGTTTTTTTTTATCTAGTGCTCAATCATCATTAGTATTTCAAATCAAGTTGTTAGAGGTCGCCAACCAGACATGGTATTACGAAAAGATATAGGCAATGTAGATTCGGCATTGGAGGAGCTGGGGAGTTTAGGGAAGTATACTCTTATCCAATTTTCAATGCAAATCTTGGCTCAGGTCTCTGTAGGTCACCACATGCTCAGTATAGTTTTTACAGGTATGTTTTTTTTTTAATGTTCAGCTCGTAAACTTAATTTAAATTGTGGTTCATCTTCACTGTGAAGGTTGTCTTCAATAAACACACTGCTTGTATATATGAATTATGACTATTTAAGACACAAAGTGTTTCCAAGAAGAAACCCAGTTTGGCACAATAATCACAGTGAAAAAGAAGGCATCAAGGATGATTTTCGAAGATACAACCTAGGTTTGGTGTAGGCTTAGTCAACGGATCAACATCATGGCACAAGGATAGTAATCCAATAAGTGCTCCGTGACTCAAGCCTGAGTACGAAGAATCTTAACGCAGTGCACAAACTCCCTAACATCGCCGAGGATTCTGAAATGCTTTGGGTAGATTTGTAACTAAACATTTTGCCCAGGTAGAGCCGTTAGGCTACTCTTTTTTTAATTTCCAACTGCGAAGTGATTTTTTTTAACGTGCGCATAAAAAAAAAATTTAAATTGGCGTCCGATCTTGCTACCCAGAGACCAGGAGAAATTACTCGAAGTCCACGGGAAAAAATGCAGGCTTCACCAGGACTTGAACCCGGGGCCTACAGCGCTCTAGGCGGACGCCATGCCTGGAGACAACGCAAGTTGTACGTTTAGTAGTTTGCCATTGTTTCTGGACGGTCAGCTTCTCGACACCAGTGTCAAAACCGGCGCACGGCTCGCAACTGGGATAGAACCCACAGACTCCGACTTAAGCATGAGTTAAAAAGGCTACAATTTAGGGCCTCACTATCTGCAGGGGCCTTAAGGAATTCTATTCTTTTCCAGAAATGTAATTTTCTTTTAATGTTTCTGAAATGAATTTTTTTTCCTCGAAAAATAATGAAATTTTGTTAGAGCAGTAGTCGCCAACCTGGGGAAATTAGGGTGGGTGGGGGGGGGGGGGGGAATAGTAAATCCCCGAGGGAAGGGAGTTAGGAAGTCGGAAAAAAAAAGGGGGGGGGGATTTAAGCACTTTTGAATGTGAGAGCATTTGTACTTGTAAAAATCCGGTTTATTTAAAAGCCTTCACAGTCATGAGAAGAAAACAGCATTGTCAGCTTGATGTGGAGAGTGATATCAATTGTGTTTTATCAAACATTAGACCACACATAGCAGATATCATCAAGACAGAACAGTGTTAAACGACGCACTGATATTTGGATACTAAATTACCAGTTGTTGTTGACTGTTTCTTTTGTTCTTTGATATTTTGAATTATATGCGTATTTTTCTCCAAAGTTGCGATTTTTTTTTTTTTTTGGGGGGGGGGGGGGTCTTCTTCTGTTTTGTTATGCTGGAGGTGAAGAGAGGATGTTTGTGCGTGTGTTTGGTGGGGATGGGTTCTTGCTATATATTCAAGGGGACCGCCAACTGAAAAAAAAAAAAAAATGATTGTGGAGACCACAGTCTTAGAGCAGTGATTCCCAAACTGTGCGCCGCGGCGCCCCGGAGAGCCGCCACTTCTTCACAGGGGCGCCGCGAAATTTTCGAAGATACACGAGTTTTTTTTTTTTATCCCTTACATACGAATAGTCATACTGTAACTTAGGTTAGGGCACCGTGAAAAAAATTTTAATTGAAAAAAAAAGGCGCCGTGACTAAAAAAAATGTTTGGGAAACACTGTCTTAGAGGATCATACGAGGGTAAGTCATTACGTAAAGGCAATTGTATCATAGTCTGCATGGAGCAGTATGCAGAAGCACTTGTCATGCGATTCAACAGTATGCGTAACAGTGACATGTTAGCGAACAAGCTGAAACCCGGGATCTGATCAAAACGGCGGGGTCTTCTCTCAAAAAGAGTTTTGTTGCTGCATGACAACACCAGCTCCCATACGGCTGCGCATACCATGGATACACTACATACTATGGTGGTCAGCACAGACTTAGTACCATCGGACTTTCATTTGTTTGGCCCATTAAAATAACATTTGTGTGGCCAGAGATTTGCGGATGACAATGATGTGATCTAGGTGGTGCAAACTTTGGTTACTGGCCACACCCACAACCTTTTATTTAGCGGGCATTCACAATCATGTGAATCGGTAGACCACATTTCTTGCAAGGCAAGGAAACTATGTCAAGAAATAGGACACTGGCCAATTTTGTTTCGGCTTCTTGTAAAAAAAAAAAAACGTTTTAATGCAATTGCCTTGATTTAATTACTTTCCCTCGTTTAATTTAATTTCTGTATTTTACGAACTATTGTTTATTATTTCCTATGAAGTAAAAGTAACGGACCCTTTTCCACGCCTTTATCGTATAGGGCATAGGGGGCTAGACCTATATTTTTATAGACCAATCGGCACAAGATGGGTGATGTGGTCACCATCACGCCTGCTGCCTTTACTCCGCGGGACTGCACTCGGTACGAACTCAAGGCTGGGTCGACCTGGGAGTGAAGGTCATTTTTTAAAAAGAGCTGTTCCGCCAGGGAGCGAACCCACGACATTTCTATCCACACGCGAGCGTCTAACCGTACGGTCCGGCAACTCCCAAGAAATAAAACGATAGTATTTTATAATTATCCACCTACTTATAAAGTGTATAGATTACAAAGTTTTCTAAGACCAGCTGATGTAATTTAAAACAGTAGGAACCTCAGGTATTTATGAAGGGCAGAGTCACATCACAAAAATACCCCCTCCCCCTTTTCCATAGCCTCCTAACAAGCAGTTGTGAAAGACCACTAATTTGGGGTTTGCTCTATTTTGATGTGTTGGACGGAAAGGCGCCGATATCGCAGCCTAGCTGTAAACTACAACACAACGATGAAATGTTTTTAAAATGTTAACGCAAGTGAAGAATAAGAATACGAAACACAAGAATAATAATAAGAAATTCTTTTTAAGCTTCTTTCTTCCATGTTCCGTATGAGTTAACTGCGTTTTATCAGTTTTTAGACTGCCTGTGATATTTGCACCTGTTTGTAGACGCACTGAACGCCGTCAAGCAGTTTTATGGACCAGATGGTACTCCTCTCTTCGACCCTTAAACATCTGGTCATGGCACCAGCTAAATACATGGCACCAGCTAAATACATTTTCTGAGCACAGAGCCAGGGGGAAGACCACGCCAAATATGGAATTACTGAACAAAGAACAGCGATAAAGACAGGAAGATCAACTTATGCAGTGGCGCCGCCTGTTTTGTTAATTCCTTCTTCTTACTTCTTTATTGTGTTTGACGACGTAATGTTTAAATCCGAACGGTACTGGACTTTTTTTCTGTCAAAAATTACCTTAGCTTTACGATCTTTAATGGGTAAAAGACCTTGGAAGTAAAGACGGCCGACGTGATGCTGACATCACCAACCAACTGCCGATTGGTCTATAAAAGATAGATTTATATGCCAAAGGGCGTCTGTGGCTTAGGCTTTGCGAACCCGCTTCGTAATGCCGAGGTGCCGGGTTTGATCGGACGGTTTCTCATGCTTTGGTTTCGACAGTGGTACCGACTGCTGACTGTTCAGTGAGCAATGGCAAATTACTGAAAGTAAAATTTTCATAGAAAACCTACAAAATAGTAGGACTGGTTCTGCAACGTCCTGTAATGGGTACGCAACTAACTATACGCTAAATACGCATGAAGATGTGTAAAAGGGTCTTGTCCTGTCTCCTGTCAGGTAGTTTAAAAGTATCCATAGCAAGCTAGATATTTTGAGAAGTGGTCAGGGTAATAATGAGAAGAAGACTAGGACTGCAATACAATTAATTAAAGAGCAATAGATCAGACAGTCTAGCTATCTGACGAGAATGTCATGGCACCAACTAAATAAATATTTTGAGCACAGAGCCAGGGGGAAGACCACGCTAAATATGGAATTACTGAACAAAGAACAACAATAAAGACAGGAAGATCAACTTATGCAACGAATTAGAAAGAGTGCACATAAGATCCTTACATCTTCCCCAACACAAAGATGGGGCGGGAATAGGAGGAGGAGAGGAAGAAGAAGCAGGAGGAGGAAATTGAGGAGAATGTGGAGGTTAATGCAGTGGTTAGTGTGGAAATTCGAAAAATACTAGCCATCACCTCACGTATCTCGGCTAAAGTATACACTCTCTTGTTGATGGATGCTAAGATACCATAGTCTGTTCAGAATTCATGAACACGTTTGCAACCTATTTCTCGAAAATTGCCTGTTAGGTCGCAATGATGTTTCGTATACAGCCTTTGAATATTCAGAGCGCAAAAACAGTGCTTATCTATAGTACATAGATGCTCAAGATTTTCCTAATCAACCAATTCCTTTTATCTTTTCGCATGATTGTAAAAAAATTAAATGAAATTTCATATGTTACAGTAAATATTTTAATTTGAAGTTCAAGTTCAATTAGTTCAGAGGCGTATCTTTATGATAAATAATGGTGTATTCAGACCAAGCGCCAGTTTTTTTTTTTTTTTTTTTTCGTTTCTCTAGGTCATGAATATCCCTATATAAATTGCAAATCTTATATTCCCGGCTGAAGTGCTGGTACAGCAAAAAGGCGACCTTCTGCATAGCTATAAATTTGAACCTTAAACTCATTATGAAATAGATGCCAATGCCAGATTTTGATAAGCCAACTATATGACACAATAAGTAAACATCAATTTGTGGACATGCCTATAACTAAATAACCTTGAACGACGTCTTATTTTGGCTTCCGTTCACCAACAGTATGACTGAACAAGGAAATCTGGAAACTGGCTTCCTGTTAAACCCGTATTTAGTGTGTTCATTAATTACTAATATATATATTAGGGCTGTACCGAATAGTGATTTTCACTATTCGGCCGAATACGAATAGCTGGACCAACTATTCGGCCGAATACGAATACGAATAGTGAAGCATCATCATCAGGTGCTTTGCCGTCTGGCATGGGCGATTATGCCTCTTTACAATCTGCGATCTCCTGCAGCATGTATTAGTTCGTATGCTGATACACCTCTATGACATGCAACAAGACTGTCAAGAATCTTCTCTCGTTGTCTTCCTCTATCCCTCCTTTCACATATCTTTCCAGTGGTCACCACATGTTCCATTTTCCCTCATTTTATAACATGGCCGAAAAGTGACGACTGTCTCCTTCTGATGTTTGTGAGCAGTTGTCTTCGGGCTCCCGACTCTGTCAAATTGTTCAGGACTTACAGCCATATGTTAAAACTTGATGTGTGTAGCAAGCGAGAATTCTTTTTCTAACCTTCAATGGCAAAGATATATTGCATAAGATGTTCTTTATTTTATAAAATGCAGTTTTTGCCCATCCTATTCTGTTTCTTTTATTCGGTAATGCATCTTCCATCTGATGTTATCAATGTGCCCAGATACTTAAATTTCTATACTTATCTCTAAATAAAACCATTGCTTTCATTACACATTTAGGAATAATTATTTTCTTTGATACCACCATTACTTCCGTCTTCCCATTATTCAAACCGAGGCCCATTCTTCCACTTTCGTGTATAAAATGGATCTAAAAAGAAAACATCCATAATGTCAAATGTACGCTGAAATTTTACTTCACAAAATGTAGTATAGAATAGTTAACATTTAAAAACATTTCATGTTTTGCATCCTTCAGTCAGTCGGTCTGTAGTAACTAATACATAGGAATGAAAGAATTCTTAGTTTTATAACAAGTAACTAAACTTATAAATTGTCACTGACAGCTTAGTTAATCCATGAAAGCGGCATTAGCTTTAAAAAAAAAATCGCTTCATGTTGTCAGCATTAAGGCAGCTTCTTGTCTCACTGAAGGTATTTCCACGTGAACTAATCAGACGTTCACTTGATGTACGCTCGTAGGTGGTGCACACAGATAACGCTTGACAGTGTGAACCAAGGTGGGAAATCTTGATGTGTTTATTTTCTTCCAGTCCAGAAACGGGTGTAAGGTAACCACTATTCGTATTCGGCCCGACCGCAACTATTCGGCCGAAAACCGAATAGTTATTAGGTCCACTATTCGGCCCCGAAGCGAATACGAAGCGAATATTCGGTACAGCCCTTATATATATATTAGAGCTGTACAAACAGACGGTTATCCCTATTGGACCGAATACGAATAACGGGACAACTATTCGGCCGAATACGAATACGAATAGTGTCATAATGTCAAATGTACCCTGAACTTTTACTTCACAAAATGTAGTACAGAATAGTAAACATTTGAAAACATTTTGTGTTTTCCATCGTTCAGTCAGTCTGTGGTAATTAATAACTACGAATGAAAGTATTCTAAGTTCTATAACAAGTAACTAAACTTGTAAATTGTCACTGACAGCTTAGTTAATGTATGAAAGCGGCATTAGCATTCAACAAAACCCATCGTTCCACGCTGTCAGCATCAAGGTCATATGCAGAAGCGGGTGTAAGGTAACCACTATTCGTCTTAGGCCCGACCGCAAGTATTCGGTCGAATACCGAATAGTTATTAGGTCAACTATTCGGTCCCGACGCGAATACGAAGCGAATGTTCGGTACAGCTCTAATGTATGAATGTATATATATGTATATATATAAAAAGAAAAAAAAAACACTTGATATTCTTCATTAGTAAAAAAAAAAAAAAAAAAATTACATATTTCTTAACATCATGAATGTCTAGAGTGAGTATACCAAATGTTACTACAATCTGTTCTTTAGTTTGCAAAATATTAAAATATAATCATGCTTTCGAATTCTGAACGGACTATAATTACTAATTTTCAATGCTTCATTGACGTTTGAAGATGATATGAATCTTTGGTCCACGTTTTACAAGTCAACTATTAACATCATTACGTAATTAGTGATGTATATCTTAAATTTATAAAAAGAAGTTTCATGTCTTTAATACAACTTTATTTTAAAAATTCAGGTCAAAAAAATCCCTTCAGATGTTTAGCACCAGGTAATCAAAACTCATCGGCCTTTGACCAAACTGGGAGTCTTATATCTACGAACCTAACAGCCAACAACTTCAGCGAAATATCGTATGGCTATGTTTGCCAGTCCGCATCAGAGATACATTCGCTAAATAACATTTCCACTTCCTGCAATGCCTATAGTGTTCAATATCAGCTGCCGAAAGATAGATATTTTGTATCGGAGGTGAGATATCATATGAAAGATGTAAATTTAGTGCTCCATTTGTTAACCATTTCCGAAAACTCTTATCAAAAGATGCTTTGTTAGGATGAAAGCTTTCAGATAATGGTTTATGACTACAAATAACTACTGACATTGCTATAATACTTGCTTCATGCAAATGGGCAGAGAGAGAGAGAGAGAGAGAGAGAGAGAGAGAGAGAGAGAGAGAGAGAGAGACAGAGAGAGAGAGAGAGAGAGAGAGAGAGAGAGAGAGAGAGAGAGAGAGAGAGCGAAAGAGAGAAAGAGAGAGAGAGAGAGAGAGAGAGAGAAAGAGAGAAAGATGCAGAAGCATGAGGCAGATAGAAAATGGATGAAAATGACAGTAACAACGAAAGAAAATGGATGTAGACAAGGATGAAGATGCAGGTAGAAAACGGATCGACAAGGTACAAAGATGAAGTCGAAGGTGAAAACCGATAAAGAAGGAGGTGGCAGAAAACAGGTGAATATTAAGGTTTCTAACAAAGAAGGGTGTAAAAATAAACATACAGAAAGTTAGTAAACAATGTTTACAATACCTTGTCATTGCATGGACATCATCATCATCATGTAGCAGATTCTTTGCAGAACGTCGCTGTCATCACACTCTGCCTGAAAGAAACTCGGTCTCTCATCAGCTCTCCCATGTCATGTACTTTCATATTCACTGAGTCACTTCTATCCTGTGTCCATCTTCGAGTTGGTTCTCCTTCTTGGTACCCTGCCTTCTGCTATTTTGTTTTCCCCAATTCACCATTGTGAGATGACCAAAGCTTTCGAGACAAGATGCTGTTTTTTAGCAAATCTTCTTTATTGTTTGGGTCTTTTGAAATTTCAGTATTTTTTCTCTTCTTTATCCAGGGTATTATGAGAATCTTTCTATAGCATTTCAGCTCAAAGACCCCTATTTTCTATGTTTAGTATGTTGCTATAGGGAAGATAAATCCTCTCAAAATTGTAATTTTCATTTCCTTGCTGGTGCTTAACCATAGACTTTAAATAATAGTGCTTTGACAGAAATCGTAAAACGAACTGATACAAGCTGGAAGAGATGGCAAAATGTACAGGAACGTGATCGCCTACGACAATTAGTTTGATGGTGATTATAACTTTTACAAACGATTCTTTACTTGTAATTACTTTATTAGAACGCTTTCTCACATTCTACATTGTTTGTCACATGCAAAATGCTTGCTAACTTGTGTGGAACGAAAACTAAGCGGATGATATTTAAGTCTGTCCTCACATACGTCTCATTTCAGCATGTCTTGTAGAAGAGTTCTGATTACCATTATTACAAGTAAATAGTTTCTAATTTCATCATGTCTTGTAGAAGAGTTCTGATTACCATTATTACAAGTAAATAGTTTCTAATTTCAGCATGTCTTGTAGAAGAGTTCTCATTACCATTATTACAAGTAAATAGTTTCTAATTTCAGCATGTCTTGTAGAAGAGTTCTCATTACCATTATTACAAGTAAATAGTTTCTAATTTCAGCATGTCTTGTAGAGGAGTTCTGATTACCATTATTATAAGTAAATAGTTTAATCCACTTTTCTTCTTCTTATTATTAAAATCCATGCCGTGGGACATTGGTAGTCATGTCTATCCACAACCTTCTGTCTCAGGTACTTTCAATCAACTCTGAATTGATTTGCAGCTTCAACTTATATCATCCAAGTTACGCAGTCATTTGTCAAGTACAGGGGGTACGCCTCTACCATGGAAGATCAATCAGTCAATAAAATGATGTCTTCATAACAATGATTGGCTTCAGTAATTAACCAGTCAATCATTCAGATGCCTTCTCCACATAGAAGGATGATTACAAAATCTCCAACACTCTTTTATTACTCTATTCTTAGGTGTACTCACTGTGACTGTTGTTTATCCACTTCTTGGTAGTATCCTTCCATAAACCGGAAGATAAGATATGTGATATAAACCTCACTGTTCCCACACAGACGCACTGGATACTGCAGACTCAACAAACACTAAAATAAATTAGGTATGCGCCAGACAGCTCTCTGTTAGTGTCTTCGTGCTGAACAGACTCCAGAACATATCTTGCCCGGCTGTCTTCACCTGAAGGAGCTGCGAAGCAACCTGTGGCCACACCACGTAGACCTGACAACTATGCTTTAGTGAAAACCTAGGACTTTGCGATGTTATCCCGATTTATGGCCCTCAATGGATTAAGCGTATGACCAAAGATCACTGAAGAAGCAGTAGTACACCCACAAAGGCGGCGTCTGTGGCTAAGGCGTTGTGAGTCTGACTCGTAATTCCAACGTACCGTGATCGAAACCCACTGCTGGCTGCGTGGATTTTTTCACGGTATGGAATGTTGCAGGTCGACCCAACCTAAACTGGGTACCAGGATGTATGTCCTGGGGAAGTAAAGACGGCCGGCGTAATGTTGACCACATTACCCACCTAGTGCAGATTGGTCTGAAAAATGTGAGTGCTCTCCCTATATGCCCGATACACCTATAGGCGTGAAAAGGGGTCTTAACTTACACCCACAAAAACATAAATTTTGTGTTTGTCTATTGCAGTTTGACTTGATTTGTGAGCGTGAGTACTTGGCTGGTCTCACCCAGACACTATTGACTTTAGGACACGCCATTGGGTCACTTGCTGTCCCGTATTTCGCCGATAACTATGGAAGAAAACCGGTGCTTCTTGTATGTTCTCACTTGTGGCTAGCGTCTGCCCTGGCACAAGCTTTCTCTGTAAATTACACCATGTTCGCGATTTTCAAAACACTGGGTGGAATCTTTTTACAGGTAACTATGTCTTCGTCCGTGTTATGTAAATATTTCAACAATTTTATGTATACTATAACTTGTTAATTGTAGTATAAACACTGATAAAATTTGATTTTTCTAGTTTTTCAGTCAGGAGGGATTTTTTCATACGGCACGCAACGGTACGCAATATTGGCACCTTTTAAGCAAATTTTTTTTCGGCGTTACTGTAATAAAAACTTTATGATGAGTACCGAAACATTTTTTAGATTCTTTGTAGTGAGTACCTACACCTTCTGTTGTGGAAAAAAAAAAAAACCGTAACAATAGGTAATTTATTCAATCCTTACCGGCGCAGGAATGCAGAGAATATAAAGTACAACGGAAATCCGGGATTTATCATTAATCCGTTTATGAGGACAGGACGAATAAAAAAAAGGACGAATATCAAAACATCTTTCTTTAGGAATGAATTAAAAGAGGTTGAAACAGTTGCCAGCTCTGAGGTATGCCTGTCTAAACATATCGTCGGCAAATGAATTGATACGCCAACTATAGGCATTTTTGGGTTCATTTTTCGACGAATACCTGCATTTTTGCCCAAATGGACAGCCAGCTTCTTATTTTTAGCATTTGGAACCGGTCCATTATCTTTATCTCATCTGATGACTTGTTGGCCACGTCGGGGGAGGAACGAATATTAACTTTCGCAGGCAAATATGACACAAAATTTACCAACAAAATAGGTCGAATTTAATACAGACACGAATATTAGCATGGAGTAATATTATGATAGTTCTACTGTCGTACTTGATGTAGCCATTATCGTTATTCTATTGTAACTCCTTTGGAATTATATTACCTAAAATTTATGTTTTTATATTTTGCTTAAACAGTCTGTGGCGCAGACTTCTATAACTGTCATGGTGGAAATCTTAACTGGCAGACAACGGGGATACATGTTTGGATGTCTGGCCTACATCTTCTGGACTGTAGGCATCATCCTTATGGTACCAGTGGCATATGCACTTCAAGAACACTCCTGGCGAATGTTAGAGCTTGCCTATTGCAGCTATTTCATTTTCATTTTACTCTACATCTTGTGAGTACCACATTTAAGGTTATTATTAAATAGAGTAGCTTAAAAAGCAAAGTACCTAATTAATGAGTTACTATCTGTGATGGCAGAGGCCCTTATGACGATCTGTGATGGCAGAGTCCCTACGGACGTCTTTTAGGGTGAATTAAAGACGGGTAGAAGATGTCGAGGCCAACCTCCACTACGGTATAAAGAAATGTTTGCAAGCGGGACATGAATGATACAGGTATTGAGGTGGACTCGTGGGAACAAAATGCCATGAACCGTGTTGTGTGGAGAGAAGGCAAACCAGGAAGGGAATGAGAGTGAAGGAAGGGATGATTTCAGAAAAGATGAGAGCTGACCGTCTGAGAAGAAACGGATTAAACACAAATGTTGACAACAATGGTTATGAAATCCTATGCAATCATTGTGGAAGACGTTTCTTGACACGGCGGGTCTTGCTAGTCACACTCACCATCGCAACGGGCTGTGAGTCCCATGCCTCCCCATAGCAATATAACACCATCGTCTGGAAAGACGGAAAGGTGCCAATTATTTGTGAGAACAACTTAAAGCTAAATACATTATTTCTCGAGCTATCATTAGGTCTAACAAAACAGCTTCTTTGGTGTGCAGAAAGATTATGATAAACAAACTGACATGATTTACTGATGCTCATGGGTTCAGAGAAAAGAAGTACAGATAGGAACACACATTAGACAAAATAAAAAATCGGAAACAACATTGTTACCACACCAGGACTAGGTAAAGATAAAGATGAGAGGATCTACTTCAGTGCACAAGGTTTTACCCTATATGGCTCAATCTCTCTCCGCTGACCTGCTATCTGCCTGCCGAGAGCGTCGAACAGAGCACGACCTCCATAGCTCCAGGACAGTTCCCTAGGAATCTCCGTAAAAATTGCACCCGGGAACTGAACGGCGACCCACGACCTTCAGAGCGCGTGGCAAACGGCTTGACCTCCTTGCCACGGAGACCCCCCATCCTGCCCCACCCATACCAGGCCGTCAATTAATCACCTGCTGATGACGCAACACAGTTGCAAGAACAAGTGGGTTTCATTGAATGACAAACTACGCTTTGTGTTTTTTCGGTCCTGTACCCCCCCCCCTCTTTTACTACCCGTGTCGCCTGGGCCCTTAACCAACTCACACCAGGTCTTCCTCTTCTTTGTTATTACAGGCTGCAAACTCCATGCCCTAATACCATTTCAACTACACTCTCTAGTCCCATTCTCCACGTTTCTATTTTGTGTCTGCCTGTATCCATAATTCCATGTGGAGGCAGTGCAGAGACATTCTAGTTGTACTGTTCTCAGGGGTTCTGAGCATGTGTCCTATACTTATATTTTTCTCAGGTATTCTCAACTTGTGTCCTATCCAACACCAGCGTCTTTTCTCTATCTCGAGATTTACCGGACTGTGTTTAATTCTCTCCCAAAGCTCAGCATTAGTGATTCTATCATACCATTTAAATGCTTTATTCTGCACAAGCAGAGTTAACGAATGTTTTACCAGATAGACACCTGAATAAACAGCTTCCATGGTTATCTTCCGAATAATGGTCCCAAATTATCCAGGCAGAAAATATACCCCAACAGAGCATCAGTCACGTGTCAATTGCGCACTTCCGGGGACTATACCGCCACCGCCGAATTGCAAACTTCCGGGGACTATACCGCCACCGCCGAGAGTATCCCACACGCCTCTCTTAACACTGACATAACACCATTGGTTGCATTAATTCGTATTAATCCCACCCACCCCCCGCGCCCACCCAAAAAAAAAGTATAGAAATAGTTTATTTGGTTTGAAAAAGTACGGAGGAGGGGCTTGTCGAACATTTATAACACTGGGCTCTCATGCGGGAAACCTGGGTTTGAATCCTCTCTCACCTGCACAATCCGTGGTCCCCCGTGTGGGTTCCGGGGCCCTTTTGTGGGGAAAACAAGAATAGACCCACTGCCTCCCCAAAAGCATGTCGTAAGAGTCGACTAACTGGGGAGCTTCCTTTGAAGTCGGAGTGCATCTGCCTGAGAGGCAAGGAACCAGCAGTCTGCATTCAATTGAATCAGATCTGTAAAACTGATGCACATGCAACACTCAGGTTCTGGAGCATGACTGCAGTCCAGAAGTGGACGAACAACCAGAACTTTACGCCAGAGTGTACAGCTGGTGAACACCAAAAAAAAAAAAAAAAAAAAAAAAAAAATCCGTGGCAACAGCACTAGCCATGTGGCTTTAAATCCTCTCATACTCACCCCCCAACCCTCTTCCCCAAACACCGCAAAAATGTTTTTAAAAAGGCAATAATTGGCAGTTGGTAACAAGTACTAAATCTGCTACTTCAAGTAAATCGTTTTACGCAGTCTTCACAGTGCTGCCACTAATACGGTTCTTGTCAATATGGCACAAGCTCAGTGTCCAACATTCTTTGCTTTTCGGCCTAATGGTCATATGCCTCAATTCCTTTCCTTTCATTAGTTGTTTTTTAATATGCATATTTTATAAACACGCTCAACACATAACCCCCACCTCCCCCAACTCTTTCTCACACCCCGCCCCTGCCCTGCCCCCCCCCTCCCCTCCACACACACACTTTTATTTCCGTCACATAATTCTGTTAGCCCTGTACAATGGGACTAAATGTAACTGCACAAACCGAATGGATCTCAATTAATGACGTGGAGCCAAAACATGTGCAAATGGATGTCAATAAATTTTCACGGTAAACAATTACATTTTTCAATGAGGAAGTGTAATCGTATGTAAGTAATGTCATGATTAGCTACGGTGGCTTTTGTACAAGTATATATATATATGGAAAAAAAAAACCAGATGTCAGATAAGAAAATTATTCCTCATAATGACTTTATGATTGCATATTTCAATGAAGAATTTAGATAATTTGGTCAAACTGATTGAGTATTAACATCGTAAATAATCCTGAAAGCTTTCAACGAAATTCAATACCATGTAATTCTAGGTAATATCTTTTAATATCGCATTCTTTTTTTGTTTATTGTTTTAATTCATTCATTATATTCACAATTTCCACTTGAAAAAAAAAGATGTCATTTAGCTCACTAGTTAACATTTCAAATTATTCCTGCCAGCTGCCTAATTAAGGGATGAAGTCATTCGTTATCTTCTCTGTGACTCAGTTAAAGATGTGACTGTTCACACAATGCGGTCTTTTACATTACTAATTGCTTTTAATTAGAAGTTAGTTATTCCAATGGCGACGGAACCTGACGACAAGCAGTTATAGAGGTGGAAGGGTTGGGATTCATTTCCAACAAGCCCCAACCCCCAACAAATCCTCCCGTAAAAGATTTGTAACCGGACAAAGCACGGCCCCCACCCCTTTTTACATATTTATAGAAGATCTCTATTAAGTATTTTTAAATTCAAATTATTTATGATACGTTATCTTTTTTTAGCCATTCAACACATGATGATGATAATGATAATAATAATAATAACCATAATAATAATAATAATAATAATAATAATAATAATAATAATAATGCAGTGAACAAGGCGTAACCCCCCCCCCCCCATCCTCCCCCAAGGACCCCCATCCCCCCTCCAGAATAAAATTGTGACTAAGCCTCTCTTTTCTCTCAGGGAACCCCTGCCCCAACTCCACCACACATTTTTTCTTTCTGCTTGTGCCTGAGAAACTGGCGCCTTGCATGTACAGTGGTTTGCATCACTTGAAAAGACCTTGCACATTCTGTCCCGGAAATTTGAGTGTGTGGGTTCCAAGAGAGCTGAGACATTGACTGCTGCCGTTCCTCTTTGCGGTGAGCTTCGAGTACTTTGTGATTAAGCTGATAATGCAGTAGAACACACAGAGAATCTATACACTGAAAGATTAATTCAATGGAGGGGAGAGGATGGAGGTGAGTAGAGGTTTTGGCACACATTTAACACAGAAGGAGAAAGGGGAGCGGGAAATAGACGAACATTTAATCAGGTTGCAACTGTTACAATTAGCAGCCGACTCTTTGTTAATTACTGAGGAAGGAGACGGAGCACGTCTGCGAATGTCCCGAGTTAAGTGATATCAGTTTTTTTTTTGTTTCAACCATTGATTTATTTCAGTTTTATGGACGAGTCGCTTCGATGGCTGGCTGCCAACGGTCTCAAGGAGCGTGTGGTGTGGGTGCTGAAGAAAGCTTCGCGATGGAACGGTTCTAACTTCGATCAAGTTATTTCTGCCTTTTACAAGGTAAACTGCATTTCTCCTCCCTGTGTTACCGAGTTATGTAGGGTAAGAACAGCGGTAAATCTCCCAAGTTCAATACCCGGTGAAGGCGATTGCGTGATTTGGGAGTAAAGCATGGTGAAGCAGGCCTGTGTCGTCTTTGAGTTCGAGATAAGAGACATTATCACCAACCTCTCATGGGAGCAATTAGTGGAATTACCTTGGAGTGGCTGCTGCATTGGAGGACTGAGCACGCCCAGGAAATACCTATGGGCAGTGACGTCGATTTCGATAACATAAGATATTGTAATTTGTGTTACACTTTTAAGCTTTTCACTTTTTCTACTTCTTCTTCTGTTCCACCTTGTATACCACATCGAAGTGTCGGGGGAGATGTAATATTCGTTGATGAGCTCTGTCAAGAGCAATATTGGGACTGATGTTCATTTCTGTAAGGCTGTTGTTAATGCCATTACTCCATATTTTCCGAGGTCTTCCACTCGCTCTATACCCATTGCAACGTTTAAGTGTGGCTCACTGTGGCGGATAGTACTAGGGCATTCTTGTTAGGTGTCCAAACCACTTTATTTGTTGTTCTTTGATGACCTGTAAGACTGGCTTTATTCCTAGCTTCGTCTGATTTTGTGATTTCGTATTCTGCCCTTCCTTGAAACTCCTGCAGCTCTTCTAAGGTATTTCATCTCTGTTGTCACAATTTTACGTTCATTGGAGAATGTAAGTGTCTACGGTTGGGCACTGACAGCATAGTGTAGGCCTAAAAAAATAGTTCTGATAAGATTCACTTTAGTACTCCGGGGTAACTGCTTGTGTGTCTCTGAAACTTCGTATGTTAAAATCCTAACTGAAACACTGGAGTGGGTTGGTAAAAAAGGAGGAGGAGTGTGGAGTTAACATATGTATTGTTTTCCAGACAAATTTAGTCTGAAATGATCACTAGAAGATGCTCCAGCAAGCAACGGCGACTAAAATGATGTTAACTATATATACCACCAACTAAATGTGGAGTGGTATATACAATCTAGTGATCTATCTCTATAAGCCCAAATCGAGGGCGGGGTGAAAAGTGTTCTTTGCTTATTTTCTGACTTAAGTTGATCGAATAATCCCCCTGTGGGTTCCGGTATCTCATTTTGGGTAAACAAGAATAGACCCACTGCCTACCAAACGAGTCGAATAATTGGGAGTTCCTTCGAAGTCGGACTGCACCTGTCCGGGCGACAAGGAAAAACCAGCTGCACACAAATACAAACGAGCAACAAGGAACAGCCAGCTGCACACAATACACACGTTTACCAGCTCAGTCTTGACACTGGCTGACCTTTCATTCATACTTTCTCAGACTGTTCTATATCAGAGGGGTGTCACGTTGTCTTGCCTCCAATTACATCAGCGCTGATGATGTCACGTGTTCTATACTACACGACGACACAGCTTTTAACGACACCAAAACATCTAGAACTGTTCCTGACCCAACCCCAACCCCCTCCCCCCCCCCCCCCCCCACCAACAGCCTGAGTCTAGGCGACACGAAAGACTATTTTAGAAGAAAACAGTACAAAGTGACATCTCTATGATTAAACGAGACTGAGAAAGTGTGTTGATGGGCAGGGAAACGTGAATAAAACTAGGTATAGCAATGGGTCGTTTTGTTTCGTTTATTTCGCTTTACATTTTCAATCGTAACTAGGGACGCCTTGGCGACCCAAAACACCAGATAAAATCTGAAAAATTATTAGGAGTTATTTGAGTGATGCTAGGCTCTGACCTGAGAGGGTTGTGATGCGTATACAATAAATAGATTTTTTTTGCAGGACGCAGTGAATTAACCGTAAGTAAGTTCGTAAATATCTTTTTAATTAGCCAGATTACCGAAGTTTGTGGTGTATTTTTGAATTCTGCGTTAATTTGTATATAAATATGGGAAATTTCACAAAGATTGGCTGAGCGCAAATGTTTAAAAAAAAAATTTTTTTCTAGTGGCATCACTGTTTTCGCTTTAAATCCAATATGTTTGCACTAGAAGACCGTTTGTCCCGCTTTATAATTAACTTAAAATAATTATTAAATCAGCTAACGTTATTTTAATCATTAAAAAAAAAAAAAAATCCACAACCATTGTAACATTTTTTCATGCATCTGTCACTATTTAGAGCTCCGCGTACTTTCTCTTCGATATAATTTTTCCTGATCACCCCCAAATTCCAATAATTAATTTCGGCCATCATTGCGCATTTTCTAAGATGATTCTTTAGTAATTAACTTCAGATACTTAGTAAATTAATAATGCTAAGTGAGCTACTTTTTAAACTACCACTCTTGTAGCATTTGTTTTAAAATGCGTCTGTTATTATTTAGAATCCACGGAATTTTCTGTCGGAATTGGTAAATCTAAGTGGTCGAGAAACAACAGCAGCGCTGACCGCGTTCCCCTCCATCAGGCCTGTCAGTACTTGGGCTTTCCCCCAAGAACTGCGTTTTTAAACGACACCTTGCGTTAAGATTTTGGAATCTTGTTTTTCAAATATATATATCCTTAAATAAAAGTGGGTAAATATTTCATTTCGTAACCATAAAATATGTAGTATCTATCAACTTTGGGTTTTTTGAGTGTGCTTATATATAGCCTTGGTTTTAGGTCAGCTTAGCTTCGGGTTTGACAAAAATCCCATTGGCAACCCTCTCATTCTTGGCTGTCTGCGTGTGGCTTTTATAGATCTATTTCTTAAATTCAATGCTGGGTGAACATGGGAGCCAAGGTCATTTTTGAAAGAAAAGAAAATCCGGCCTGACCTGATTCCCAGAAATAAACACACCTGTTGTGTTTTCCCAGTTGTTAACACTGTCACCGACCTATTATGAAAAACAGGCCATGTACTACCAGTGGGCTCATGTTTTCTTCTACCATACAGAACGGAGAGTTGGAGGAGGCGGGAAAGAGGGGGAGCAGGAGGAGGAGAGAGGAGGAAAAAAGAGACTAAGAAAAGAAAGTCGGCGCTGACACATGGTGAAAAAGAAAGGAAAGGAAGAGGAGGAGAGATACAGGGGGAAGAAGGTAGTAAGAAGGCGGTGCAGCCACCCCGGTATCATCAGGGTGGTTGCATCCAACCCCCCCCCCCACCCACCGCCACAGATGGCGGGGGGAGGGGTGCACCCACCCCGGGTGTCATTACTGTGCGGAGATACGACCACCTTGGGTGACATCGTTATTGGGGGGAGGGGAGGGTGCGGTATATGTTAATTAGGTCACGTCAACTCACACTTATATGAACTTAATGTTCGCCTTATCAGGACACACAATACGATGTGCAACTTGCTAGGCTCACTGGCAGACAACCGTAAATGTATAAGGTTTTTGCTGAAAAAAGGCAGTTGGCGGCCGTTTTTATATTTTAATAACGTAACGTCAACTGACATTGGCACATTTATATGATCTTTATGTTCGCCTTGTCGGGACACACAATATGATGTATTAAGCCAGGCTCGCTGGCAGACAACTGTAAATGTATGAGGTTTTTGATGAAAAATAATCAGCCTGCGGCCATTTTTATATGTTAAATAGGCGCATATTGTAGTGTATGTATTTGAAACATGCATAAACAGTTAGGTTTTACTGTCCCGATTCCAGCAATATATGGTTGCTAAAGGATTCGTTCAGTACCAAAAAAAGTTATGGCCGTAAAATGCAAACATTGAGTCATTTCATATTAGTGGGTCGCAGCCTTGAATCCATGTTTTGGACATTTCCACTATAATTTGTCTGTGGTGGTATCCGCCACTAAAATGTTAATATCTCCGCTTAGAATCGACTTACAGGCTCAAATGAGGTACCATTGGATTTATAATTTTAATCTTGATCTAGCTGTCATGGTTTCGTAAGTAAACAACCAAAATATAAAACTTCACTAGCATTCCTAATAAAACTCACAAATAAGCCAGTAAACATGCACACGCACAACTCAGGCCTTGGCACAAAGCCAAAGTTTAAATAGACGAATAACCAGGACATCCCGCCGGAGCTTACAGTCAGTGAATAGAGAAGAAGGAAAGGGAATGGGGGGGGGGGGTGAGTAGAGGTTCTGGGTGACATTTAACACTGCGGGGTGGGGTGGGGGGGGGGGCATAGATGCACATTTAATCAAGTTGCAACTGTTAAAACTAGCAGGTGACTCTTTGTTAATTACTAATAATACTAATATACTAATACTAATAAAAACAAACTCAATTTATTAGTGCAAACTTTATTATCTCAACGGAGCCACCAGTGAATAGAGGATTGAATTCAAATCAGAACGGAATCGGAGGTTGTAGAAAGAAAAAAAAAACCTTTTCTTTCAGTTCACCTGGCCTAAAATAGGTACCAGATAAAGTCCTGGGAAGTAAAGGCGACCAGCGTGATGTTGACCTTGTTCTGTATGGTCTGTAACAGGGCAGTTTAACTTAAGTTTACTCAAGGGTCAACACCTTGAAATTAAGGATCGTCACTGGCCAGAGGCCTGAGCACCAGAGTGAATGGTAAGTAATACAATACAACTGGCAATGATCCGCGGGCCACTTGTTAGACCTCCGGTGTCAGATTTGGCAAGCAGGCCGCCAGTTGAATAGTCCTGATCTGTAAAGTATAGGTCCTCCAATATATACCCAATACGCCTGTAGACGTGGACACGTGTCCTTTACTTTTTAGTCTTTATGTCTTCTTGTATCATCATCATCAGCAAGTGCCGGCGTTTATACATCTTCACAGATCTCGGTCTTTGGTGTGATGGATCAATTCCACTGATGATATTTCTCCATGCCACTCTTTTAAGTCATTCACCATCATTTCTCTTGGTCTGCCTCTGCCACTTCTACACAGTGATCTTTCCTATCGCAACGATATTTTCCAGTGCTCCTTTTCTCATTACATGACCAACGAACTTTGCCTCCTTCTCATTGTTGTATATAATGTTCTACTGTTCATTAGCCATTTCAAGGCAGTCCTTGTTAGTTATTCTAGCAGTCCAAGGTATTCGCCACATCCATCTCAAGAACCACATCTCAGTTGCCTCTAAACTCTTTTAAATTTGTTTGCTAAGATTCGCTGCTATACAACAGAACTGGATTAATGTAACATTTCAGTACTGTTTAATGAGAGTGATTTATTACATAAAATAATTTTCATCTTCTGAAATGCCTGGCCAGTTCTGCTCTTAATTTCTGTCACGCCTCGCCCATCTGATGTTATAAATGTCCTCAAATACTTCAATTTTTTATATACGTTTAGGAAAATGGCAGAGAACTTTGCCCGGACAACTTACAGCAGCAAACATTAGAGACGTGTAATGACGTTCTGGCAAATGACATTTTAATCAGTAGCGACGGGAAAGACTTCACTTCTAATGGTGAACTCGGAATAATCCTCGAGAAGGAACCATTCCAAAGTCCAGACACCGAGGCTGAAAATCTGGGTTTTGTGAGTCTTTTCACAAAGAAACATCTCAGATTTTATGCTGCGTTTTCTGTCATGGCTTGGTAAGTGCGCGCCTACCTAACAACTTATTTACCCCTCTACATAACTGACTGCTCTCTTAACTACATGACTACCTACCAACTTACCGCCTACGTATATGCTGCCTGTCACTACTTACTTGTCTACGTACCTACTTATTTACCTACCTGACTGCCTGACTAACTACTTGACTGATCAATGACTTACCTACCTACAGTACTATCTGCTACTAACTAGTTACCTGTCTACTCAATTACTTTTACGGTTTATCTTTAAGTTTATTTGTTGCATTTTCTCCCATGTGGGAACAGAAAGTATATATTTCCGTCGCCGTGCAACCGAGCTGAGTGCATGGCGCAACACTGTGAGCTGCAGATTTCCTTAGGAATTATTTTTCAACTGTGCCTAACGTGGTTTGTGCTGGGAACAGGTATATTCAGAAAATGGCGAGTGGTCTGTTGCCACTGAACTGGTGGTTCCTTATGTAGTTAATGGTGTGAGCGAGTGCTGATTTGTTACTGCTACTTCTATCGAACAAAGACTGAACAGCCTTAAAAGAATATGGTTAAGCACCAGCAAGGAGATCAAAATTAGATTTTTGACAGCATGCGTCTTCCCTGTGGCTACATACAGATGTGAGTTGTGGACTATCTCTCAGTCCTTAAGAAAGAGTATAGGGGTTTTTGAGCTGAAATGCTAAAGGAAGATTCTCAGAATATCTTGGACAAAAAAGAGGAGAAATATTGACATCCTGAAAGATCTGAACATCAAGGAAGATTAGCTAATAAACAGCATCCTGTATCCGAAGCTAAGATATTTTGGTCATATCAAGCGCCACGATGGGTTGAGAAAAAATTATATCAGAAGACATGGTACCAGGAAGGAGGGGCAGGGTCCGACCGACACGAAGATGGGCACATGATATAAGTGACTCCTTGAGTATGAAAGTAAATGAGGCGGGAAAACTGGCGAGAGACCAAGTTTCTTGCAGGCAGACCGTGATGAGAGCGAAGTTCTGAAAAGGACGTGCTACATGATGATGATGATGACTTTTATTGATGATTCCAATCTTAGTGTTACTTCTTTAATTGTTACTGTGTTTACTGCTTTATTATTTCACTTACAAATCAGAAGTTTGCTGTAGACTTCCCATTATGTTTGTGTTTGGTTTAAAAGAAGCTAGTTACTAATAAATAGAAATGGTAAAATTATTTACACCCGATACAGTTAATAATATAGGAGCCGCGGCCACATGATGGCTAGACACTCCTGCTGACACGAAGGTCTTGGGTTCGAATCTGAATCCAGTGAAGTTTTTTTCCCCCTAAGACGACTTTGGCGTCTAGGCCTGCCCAGCATAAAGGCACCAGGTAAAGTCATGGGAAGTAAAAGTGGTAGGCGTAATGTTGACTTCATTCCCAGTGAGTGCTGCTTAGTCTATAAAAGCATGTCCAGTGGCCCTTCACCTCACTTTGCAAATTACTTTTACAAATTAATCTTACAAAATTACTTTTACAAAATAGTAATGACCACTTTCAACTCTTGTCCAGGTTCTTCAACAGCCTCACTTACTACGGTCTGTTTTTGATGTCCTCCAGCTTATCCGGCAGTGTGTATTTAAATTACTTCTTGAACAGTGCTGTGGAATTTCCGTCTGCCATCTTTATTTATTTTTATATTGACAGGTAACGGCCTATCTGAAATCTGTTTAAAGTTATGGCTGGCTGTTTGTGCATCCGTTAGAAGACAGCAAGTTATAAATATAAATTTCAGTATTATTTGCTGTTCTTCTCATCTGATCCACACAAAAAGTCTGGCATCTTTCGGAGAGAGGTTAGCATAGGAATTATTTTGCCCGACTCGAAACGTACAGTGTATTGCAGAGCTTTGCTTTTCTTCGCCAGGTTCTGAAAGGAACGGAGAGGCAGATGCCTCTTAGGTCAGGCATCATCTTTACACAGACGGGCTGAGCTGAATTAGCGTGGACTGCTAATGTTTTCTTTGTAGGTTTAAGGTGATATCCTTTGACAACAGACTCAAAACCAACCACAGGAGGGAATTCGACATCAGATAAGGCAATGTCTTTAGACAAAGTAAAAAGAACAAGGCAGCATGAACAGATGGTATGACAATATAAATGCTACTTGCATGTAAAACAACAACAAGGGCTTGGGTTACCAGAATCTTTAACATAGCAAAACAGCTAACAATAAAAGCATCGTTATCTATATTTTACGTTATTAGTGCTAACCACCTGTGAAATGAGATGTTTGAGAATGGCTGCGAATAAAACCAGAAGAGATCGAGTGAGAAACGATGTGATTACAAGAACTATTGGAACCATACCCATCGTTAAATTTATTGAGAAGCAAAGAATGAAATGGTTTGGTCACCTAATGAGAATGGAACCAACGATGCCAGCATCAAGAGCATACAACATGAAAATCGAAACACCAAGAGGCAGGGGAAGACCAAGAAGAAGATGGATTAAAGGAGTCACGGACAACTTGAGACTTCATAACATCACGGCATATGAATGACTGAGCGCGCCCTGGCTCGGTTGCCGATCATCTGATAGACTGCGACGCCTAGCGGCACAAGCAGATTTTGACAAAAGAAATAGAAGAAGTGCTAAACATGAACAATAAATAAAACAGTAGAACAGAAAATAGCTACATGTGAAATGCTCTGTCTCTGCAAGGTCACTAACAACACATACCAGCATTAGACCGTGTCTAAATTACATAGACAGACACAGAATAAAATGGTTTGGGCTTCAGGTGCGAATGCAGCCAAGGAAAACTGCATATGAGACTTTTTACAGCAGAACATCTGGGAGCAAGCAAGAACGAGATGGTACTATTGTGAAGCCGAAAGCTGCAAAAACATGAACAAATCCATCACCCAAGCCACCTGAGATGCGCAAAACAAAAATAGAAAACCACGACACTGGGCTACAACCTGATCGGTGAGACGACAAAAGAAGAAGCAGAAAGAAGATAAGACAAAATGTTTACGTAACCATATCCCCCCCCCCCCCCCCCCTAACCCGCACCCGCCCCCCACCTCCATTAAAAAAAATATATCCGTTGTTGGCATAAAAGATGGGATAGCTTATTGTTTGTTATCCCATGCTGGAGATGTTAGATATGAGGTCATAATAATGAACCAATGTCTGATCAGCTAGCACTACGATTCTGAAAATTTTTGCTCACTGGCTTTTACTAACTCTTCGCAGCAACTGATCCTACTTTGTTTCGAGCTGTTTTCTTTCGTTTCCACTGTGTGTATAACCCTGTGGATCATCCATCTATATTTATATTGGCAGGTAGAGTACACAGTATTACATGAAATGCATTTGAGATTTTGTTTTCCTCTTTGCCTGTTGTGAATATACTACTAACTGCTCTTTCACTCCGTTTAACTGCAGAAGTTATCTCAGCATTTTCGTCTTTATTCCTGGACACAGCTTCCATAAATTTCTCATAAATATGCCATTGTCCGAGATTCACTTCTTGCAGTAGGATTTTCTCTATATGACTGTAGTTCTAAAGAAAGCAAATAGGGGCGTTTGAGTTAAAATGCAATAGAAAGATTCTCAGAATAGCACGGACAAAGAAGACAAGAAATATTGACATTCTAAAAGATATGAACACCACAAGGACGATTGGCCAATAAACAGCAACTTGTCTCGGAAGCTTAAATATTTTGGCAGACCGTAAGGTACTGATGTTCGGTAAGGAATCTGTTGTTGACGTACTTTGTAGAATTGTTAGAAACAGAACTTTAAAATTATGATTTCTGAGTTTAGCTCTTGTTTTTAAATGTTGAGAGTTATTGCATGTACATTGTTTAACCGAAAGAACTGTTGCATTCAACAGGCTGGGCAGAAAAATGTGCCTAACTACGTTCAGCTTCATAGCTGGCTTGTCACTACTTGGTGTGGCTATCACAGCCGCGGTGTACAGTAAGTATGTGATTTCTCTGCATAGACACTGCTGTAGTCTGTTGATTGTTTAAATATATGCACGCAAAACTCATTAACTATCATCATTCTCAAGTACATTATAGACTGGCATTGTTGATCATGTCTCTCCCCAATCTGCGATCTTCAACAACATGTATCACTTTGTGTGCTGACGCCTCTCCATTGGCTGTAAACATGTTAATTTCAAGTCCAAGTTCAAATGTTTCAGAGGCATGTCGTTTTAATAAATGATCCAGGCAAAGCTTCAGTTTTATCGTTTCTTGGGTCATGAATATCACAATATAAATGACCCACCTTAGATTCCCTACGGTAGTACCGGTACCGTAAAATGGTAACCTTCTGCATATTTATAAATTTGCATCTCAAACTTATTATGAAATTGATGTCTATGTCAGTTTCGAAAAACCAACTATATCATACAATAACTAAACACAACAACAGTGGGGCCGCGTTAGCGCAGTCGATAAGAGCCTAGTAGTATACTAGGGACATAATCCATATTATTTATCTTGGGTTTTTGTTCTTTAGGCTATACTAATAACCCTCAGCATTGAAAATAGAGGAAAATACTCCCTCCCTCACCCTCCGGAGGGTTCCTCAACATGACACAAAGAAGAAAAAACCCTCAACCCTCCGGAGGGTCCCTCAACATGGGCCAAAGAAGAAAAAACCCTCCGGAGGGGCTAAAAAACCCAAGGTTGGACCCCTTTGACCCGCAGAAAACCCAAGGTTTGACCCGCAGAAAACCCAAGGTTTGACCCGCAGAAAACCCAAGGTTAGACCCCTTTAACCTGCTGAAAACCCAAGATTTTTACTTTTTGACCCGCTGAAAACCCAAGGTTTGACCCCTTTAACCCCAGACTCTCTATATGCTTTTGGGTATTTATCAGTGGTTGCGAACGTGCTTCGTAATCCGGAAGTGCTGGGTTCGAGTCCTTTGAAATGTATGAGTGGTCATTAGATATATTATTGGTTATTGATTCATGTATTACAGTGGTGGGTCAGGTTTTAGTGTCTATAAACATAAGCCTAAAGTTGGCGCCCTTTGACAACATACTCATGATATTGAGGTCCCCGACATAAAAATTTGTGTGCCAAAGCGGAAAACCTAAAAACAGTATTATTTGTTGTTAATAATTTCCCCCAGGCAGGCTCTGTGTGTCTATTATCTGGTGGACAAAATTTGAATAGCTGTTGTTTATACGAGTAATTAAATTCAAATAAATAGAATAGAAAATAATAGGTAGACTATACAGATCACCATACGCTTAAATTATATTATTTCAATGCTAAATTACAAGGACATGCTTAGTGAATGAGGTAAAGCAACAAAATATAGTTTAATAACACAAATTAAGTTATGTCCCTTTACATAATAACTATTAAGTTACGTTCCTTTTCCTAAACATTAAGGGAAATAATTTATTGAAGATAATAAATATTGAGTTACATCCCTTTTTATAAAAAAAAAAATAATTAAGATAAATAATTTAACAATAATAAATATTAAGTTACAGCCCTTTGAATACAATTTAAAAAAAAATTTAAAGATAATAATTATTAAAATTATGTCTCATGAAAACAAGGTAAACGTAGACACCTTCTCTTTGTAAGTGGCCAGGGACCCCTAGCAGTCTCATGTAGATGAGTAATAGACCAGTTGTTGTCCGCAGTCTCAAAATGTTAGACAAACGTCTGTTGGTGTTGAGAGCAGTGAAAAGCATCTGTGCCGTCTGGACACATAGGGTGGTATGACGCGTATAGAGAGAGAAAAAATGAAAAAGTGGCGAGTGTCATGTCATAGTTGCCGGCCGCTCCCAAAGGTTTAAATTGTCTCAGCTATATACAAGAGGTGTCTTATGGGTCATCTAGCTCGCCTTGACATATAGTGGCATGACTTGTATAGAGGGAAGAATATAGAAAAGTGGCGGGTGTCATATCATATTTGCCGGCTGCTCCCCGGACGCTTATATCAGCTATTTACATGAAGTGTTTAATGGGTCATCTGGCTCGCCTGGACATATAGTGGTGTGACTTGAATAGAGGAAAACATTTTGAAAAAGTGGCAGTTTTCATAACATAAATGCCGGTCGCTCCCCGAACGTTTGGATCAGCTATTTACATGGTGTCTTAAGGGTCATCTGGCTCGCCTGAACATATAGTGATATGACTTGTATAGAGGGAAGAAGTAGGAAAAGTGACAGGTGTCATATTTTAGGAGTGGACACCGGCCAATCAACGAACGCTAAAGTTGTATCAGCTATTAGCACGAGGGGATTTAGGGGTCACTGAGAGCCATTTGGGGCGCCTGGGCATAAAGTGGCATGTTATGTTAGGTGTGGGTCCTTAGTTGACAGTCATATCATGTATCGACTAGTCAGAGGTGAGGTACTAGGACCCGTGATATATAGTATTGAGACGTTTTTTTTTAAATAACAAAATAGAAAAACTGACTAAATTTGATTGCTGATTGTACCACTTAAAGCTTATATTTTATAGACACGACTTGTCTGCAGTCCTCTTGATACTCCCAACTCACAAATTCAAAGAACGTTTTCGAAAAATCGGTTAACCCGGCTAAACAACTAGCTGACCATTCCTCCATCTGTTTATCTAACAATCACCCTAACCGGCGGTTTCACCCATGTAATACAGAAAACTACTGTTTTCTTCATGTTCTCGCTAACATTTACACAT